GAGAGAGTAGAGAAGAGAGAGAGAGACCGAGAGAGACAGAGAGGGACATAGACAGCGACAGCAGAGACATATACAGCATGTTCAGAGAGTGAGAGACGAGAGAGAGAGAAGAAAGAGGACACAGAAAGAGAGATGAGAGAGAAATGGAAACGATGGAGACAGAGAGAGACACAGAGCAGGGAGAGAGAACGAAATCGAGATATGGGGGATGGAGACAGTAGAGAGGAGCGAGAGAGAAGAGCGCAGAGACAGAAGCGAGATACAGAGAGAGATAAGAAGGGAATAGTAGAGAAGAAGGAGAGAGAGAGAAGAGAGAGAGGAGAGAGAGAGAGAGAGAGGCGAGAGAGAGAGAGAGATGAGAATCAAGAGAGAGAGACCCATAAAGAGGAGACGAAGAGAACTATGGAACATTGAGACAGAGAGAGACACAGATAGGTGAGAGAGAAAGAGAGATGGAGGGAAACTTTGGAGACAGATAGAGATAAAGAGAGAGAGAGAGGGAGAGAGAGAGAGAGAGAGAGAGAACAGAGACAGAGAGAAGAGAGAGAGAGAGAGAGAGAGAGAGAGAGAGAAATGGAAGGATGGAACGAGAGAGAGAGAGATAGAGAGATTTTGCTGATCTCTTTATTCTATCTAGATCTCTTCTTCTCTATATATCTGGTGTTTTTTCCCTCTTTTCCACTTATCCTTTCGTCTTAATCTTCCACTTCTCTACGCCTCTATTTGTGTCTCTTTCTCTTTTTTGCTTCGCTCTTCCTCTCCTTTCTCTCTTATGCTTTTTTTCTGCTCCCCTTTCCTATCTCTCTCTCTGCTCGATCTCCTTTGATCTCCCTCTATCTCCCGATTCTAACAGATGGAGCTCCCTCCTGCGCTCTGGTTCTGATTTCTACTCTCTCACTCTCAACCTCTCTCGCTTCGTACTCGCTCTTCGCTTCTCTCGCCCTTGTTTTTTTCCGAACCCACCGCTGATAGTAATGAGCATAGGTGTTTCACCTTTACTCAAAGCGCCACTATTAGATGTTATTTATGAGGTTGACTAAGGCGCCATGCACCGCTGACTGATATACTGTTGAAATGTAAATAATGAAACACAGTAGAACAGAAGGAACAGACAGCGATGGTTCTGATTGGTGCATAGGAGGAGGAGGAGGAGAAGGAGGAGGAGGAGGAGGGGGAGGAGGAGGAGGAGGAGGAGGAGGAGAATGACGATTGTGATAATTGGGGTATATATATATATATATATATATACAGTGGGGAGAACAAGTATTTGATACCCTGCTGATTTTGCAGGTTTTCCTACTTACAAAGCATGTAGAGGTCTGTAATTTTTATCATAGGTAGACTTCAAATGTGAGAGACGGAATCTAAAACAAAAATCTAGAAAATCACATTGTATGATTTTTAAGTAATTAATTTGCATTTTATTGCATGACATAAGTATTTGATCACCTACCAACCAGTAAGAATTCCGGCTCTCACAGACCTGTTAGTTTTTCTTTAAGAAGCCCTCCTGTTCTCCACTCATTACCTGTATTAACTGCACCTGTTTGAACTTGTTACCTGTATAAAAGACACCTGTCCACACACTCAAACAGACTCCAACCTCTCCACAATGGCCAAGACCAGAGAGCTGTGTAAGGACATCAGGGATGAAATTGTAGACCTGCACAAGGCTGGGATGGGCTACAGGACAATAGGCAAGCAGCTTGGTGAGAAGGCAACAACTGTTGGCGCAATTATTAGAAAATGGAAGAAGTTCAAGATGACGGTCAATCACCCTCGGTCTGGGGCTCCATGCAAGATCTCACCTCGTGGGGCATCAATGATCATGAGGAAGGTGAGGGATCAGCCCAGAACTACACGGCAGGACCTGGTCAATGACCTGAAGAGAGCTGGGACCACAGTCTCAAAGAAAACCATTAGTAACACACTACACCGTCATGGATTAAAATCCTGCAGCGCATGCAAGGTCCCCCTGCTCAAGCCAGCGCATGTCCAGGCCCATCTGAAGTTTGCCAATGACCATCTGGATGATCCAGAGGAGGAATGGGAGAAGGTCATGTGGTCTGATGAGACAAAAATAGAGCTTTTTGGTCTAAATCCACTTGCCGTGTTTGGAGGAAGAAGAAGGATGAGTACTACCCCAAGAACACCATCCCAACCATGAAGCATGGAGGTGGAAACATAATTCTTTGGGGATGGTTTTCTGCAAAGGGGACAAGACGACTGCACCGTATTGAGGGGAGGATGGATGGGGCCATGTATCGCGAGATCTTGGCCAACAACCTCCTTCCCTCAGTAAGAGCATTGACGATGGGTCGTGGCTGGGTCTTCCAGCATGACAACGACCCGAAACACACAGCCACACAACTAAGGAGTGGCTCCGTAAGAAGCATCTCAAGGTCCTGGAGTAGCCTAGCCAGTCTCCAGACCTGAACCCAATAGAAAATCTTTGGATGTAGCTGAAAGTCCGTATTGCCCAGCGACAGCCCCGAAACCTGAAGGATCTGGAGAAGGTCTGTATGGAGGAGTGGGCCAAAATCCCTGCTGCAGTGTGTGCAAACCTGGTCAAGACCTACAGGAAACGTATGATCTCTGTAATTGCAAACAAAGGTTTCTGTACCAAATATTAAGTTCTGCTTTTCTGATGTATCAAATACTTATGTCATGCAATAAAATGCAAATTAATTACTTAAAAATCATACAATGTGATTTTCTGGATTTTTGTTTTAGATTCCGTCTTTCACAGTTGAAGTGTACCTATGATAGAAATTACAGACCTCTACATGCTTTGAAAGTAGGAAAACCTGCAAAATCGGCAGTGTATCAAATACTTGTTCTCCCCATTGTATGTACACACACATTTCAGTCATTTAACACTTTTATTCAGAGCGACTTACAGTAAGTAGTGAGTTTACATGTTCGTACTTTTCCCAGTAGCCCAAACCAGTACACTTTATGTTTATTGTCCTACTACTAAATTATTCATAGCTGTGGCTATACCTACAGTGCCTTGCAAAAGTATTCATCCCCCTTGGTGTTTTTTCCTATTTTGTTGCATTACAACCTGTAATTTAAATGCATTTTTTATTTGGATTTCATGTAATGGACATACACAAAATAGTCCAAATTGGTGAAGTGAAATGAAACAAATAACTTGTTTCAGAAAATTCTAAAATTCTTTAAGCCGTACACTCCACAGAGCTGGGCTTTACGGAAGAGTGGACAGAAAAAAGCCATTGCTTAAAGAAAATAATAAGCAAACACGTTTGGTGTTCGCAAAAAGGCATGTGGAAGACTCCCCAAACATATGGAAATAGGTAGTCTGGTCAGATAAGACTAAAATTGAGCTTTTTGGCCATCAAGGAAAACGCTATGTCTGGCGCAAACCCAACACCTCTCATCACCCCGAGAACACCATCCCCACAGTGAAGCATGGTGGTGGCAGCATCATGCTGTGGGGATGTTTTTCATCGGCATGGACTGGGAAACTGGTCAGAATTGAAGGAATGATGGATGGCACTAAATACAGGGAAATTCTTGAGGGAAACCTGTTTCGGTCTTCCAGAGATTTGAGACTGGGACGGAGGTTCACCTTCCAGCAGGACAATGACCCTAAGCATACTGCTAAAGCAACACTCTTGTTTGTTTCACAAAAAAAAATATTTTGCATCTTCAAAGTGGTAGGCATGTTGTGTAAATCAAATGATACAACCCCCCCCCCCCCCCCAAAAAAAACAAAAACATTATAATTCCATGTTGTAAGGCAACAAAATAGGAAAAATGCCAAAGGGGGGTGAATACTTTCGCAAGCCACTGTACCTGCCCAATATTGTCTCCTATACTACTAAATGATTCATAGCTGTGGCTATACCTACCTGCCCTGCAGTCAGACATACTGTATCTGTTATCAGTGATCGGGGTGTGGCGGAGACAGGTGTGTCCATCACCCTCCCTACCACCTGGCCACCACCTGGCAACTTTTATTACCGCAAATAATCCACAGAGATTGTCCATTTTTACTGTTTATTTGAGAACAAACTAGAACATATATTGCTCTGCTATGCACGTCAGTTCTTCCTCTACGAGTCTGCTTCTCCCCTAGCTAATTCCGTTGCTTATCTGCGCTGTATTATATTGTCAAGGGATAAGGATGTGGGTAAGTTTTTAACTGACGTTGGCAGCAACACAAACTAGAGGAAGATAAATATTCAGATTAAATATAGGGAGATGTCAAGGCGAGTACTCCACCCTCAAGGAGTCCTTTTATTGTTTTTTTATTATTCAAATAAATAATTCATCTGTTTATAGGCGACACTGCCAAAACCCAAAAAAGCAGCCCTTAGAAAAATGTGTATTCGATATACATAAATCATTCGTTTATTTTTCACGAGACCTAAAAGTCCCCCAATATTTTCTGGAATCGAATAAACACAAATACACCTCTAGTCGTGAGAGTTTATTCGTTGAAAACAAACTATTTAAAAAGTAAAATTATTATTATTTTCTCCAAGACATAATGACCTCGGATGACAAGTGAAGGCAAATGTCAATCAACATCATGATGGAGTTACAATGCACAATATTTGCACAAAAGAAAGTTACGATCGGCCCAATTGTTTTATTTTGTGGGGAAGAGGCAACCCACGCTATTGGCTGTGCCATCCAAACCTGTGTGCCTCCTAGGGCGGGGTTAGGTGGAGGGGGATGTAGGACTGAAGGATCGGCCAGGATCCAGAGGTGACAGCCAGGAGATTGTGTCACAAGTGAGTCAACTGTTAGCGCCGTTCTTGGGCATTTAAGAGACACATTTTCAGCGCTGTCCAAGCCTGGTTTTGGTGGAATTTTTTCTTTTTTTTTTGCTCTGAAACTCCTCACAACTCTCCAACTAAGTCTTACCGCTGTCCTTGAATATTTAAGACACGTTCCAGTGCTTTCCAAATATTGGTTATCCAAGATAGAGCGAAATAACTCACCATACCTCTCCAACCGAATCGTGGATGTCTGTAGCCGTTATGACAGCTAAAACAAAACTGTCCGGCTGGCCAGACTACACAGCCGAGGACTTCCCCCTGTTAGAACAGTCTAAACTGGGACATCTCGGATCCAGAACCTGGGTAACATCTCCAGGAGGGCAGTCTCCATACTCACCCAGAGATACGGGCCATTACGCACACAGCGGCTCCATGGATCTCTCACTGGAGAAACTCATGTCGGTGAGTAAACGAACGGACAGTGGTGTCACGATAGAGATGGACCTGGATACAGTAGCAGGGGACCAGGGAGAGGAAGGTAACGGTAAGCAGCAGGGCCACCACCCGGGCCCGCAGAAACACCGGCGCGTCGCAGCTAACGCCAGAGAGAGGCGGAGGATGCACGGGCTGAACAAGGCGTTTGACACGTTGCGGAGCGTGATCCCGTCCGACAATAACAAATTGTCCAAGTATGATACTCTTCAAATGGCTCAGATCTACATCCAGGAGCTTTCGGAGCTGCTCACCGGGGCGGTGAAGCCAGAGGGTCGGGTCGGGTCTCGGAGTGGATGTGCCTCACCGGACATAGACCACCCCATCCCGGCTAGGAGGAACCTGCTGGGGTCTTTCTCTCCAGAGCCCCGGGGGAGCGGTGGTGGGATGACTGGGGTCAGCTACACCCTGCAGGACTCCCCCTCTCCGCAGCCTCAGAACAAGAGACTGGTCGGAGACCAGGAGAACACTGACCCCGTCGGTCACCTCATCATTCTGTCTGCGCCTAAAACTGATCTAGGATCGGGGAATAAGAGGATGTCTGACACTCCTAACGGGAGTGATGGAGAGTCGTCGCATTACAGTGACTTCGAGGACGGACAGGCCGGCAGACAGTGACATTTTAGAGTCTGAATGTCACAACAGGAACTCTTATAGGAGACGTTTTAATATGGATTGCTTAATATTTTATATAAACTGTGTGTTTTAGAAGACATAATAATGGACACCAAATAGAGCCACGTAGCCCACCTTGAAATGTTGAATAATGTTCTGGTTTAGATCGAGACGGTAGTCTCGGTAGTCTCGGTAGTCTCGGTAGTCTCGGCTTGTCTCACCATGCCATATGTATTTATTAGATATGGACACCAGGGTTGGGGTCAATTCCGTTTTCAATTCAGGAAGTACACTGAAATTCCAACTCTAATTCTCTCCAATGGGAAACATTGGAATCAGAATTTGGTTTACTTTCTGAGTTGACTGGAGTTTAAAGGGAATGTTCCCCAAACCCTGCTTGTAGTCCCCCCATCTTGAAAAGTTGAATGTTGTTCTGGGTTAGATTAAAACGGTAGTCTAGACTACATTTAGACAAGAACACGAACATCCCAGTGAGCACAAGATGTTGAAAATTAGTATTTTCAACATCTTTTACTCATAAGGAGGGATGTTTCATCATGCCACATTTATTTATTAGATATCGACACTGCAAAATAAAAAAGACCTAGCCTACTGTGTGATATTGTAGACTTTATTATGTATTTAAACAAGGCCTTGTAATATGACTTCTCATAGGGCCTTTCCTTCGTTTATTGCACTTTATTGACTAAATAAGTCCGGAACATTTGGTTTCACTGTCTGACTGCATTTATATCTAATAATCAAAAAATAAAAACATAACTTTGATATTTATGTATTGTTATTTTGTATTCTTGCAAGAATAGTTTTTGATGCAATAAATACAATTTTGTATTTGGTGGATGCATATTTCAAAAGTTGTTTCTAATTTCTCCAGGATAATTCACTCTCTGCCTGATTTTAATTTCAACACTGTATATTCAAAGGGCTTTATTGGCATGGGAATCATATGCTACTCTTAGTCAACTCAATATGTTGTTTCAATATATTTTAATTTAATGCAAGAGATACATCCGTAATATGTAAATGTTGAAATAAAAATGCAAGAGGGGTTCGGGGGATTTGCAGACTAAATGCTGAAATAAATGCAATTTACAAATGTACACAATACACTTTTGATTCAGCTGTGCACTTTCAATACTGGCAGTTCTTCAGGCACCCAAAGTCACCTCCCCATGTCTTTTAGTTCTGATAGACCTGATAGAGCTGGTATATACAGTGGGGAAAAAAGTATTTAGTCAGCCACCAATTGTGCAAGTTCTCCCACTTAAAAAGATGAGAGAGGCCTGTAAATAGGTACACGTCAACTATGACAGACAAACTGAGGAAAAAAAATCCAGAAAATCACATTGTAGGATTTTTAATGAATTTAATGAATTTATTTGCAAATTATGGTGGAAAACAAGTATTTGGTCAATAACAAAAGTTTCTCAATACTTTGTTATATACCCTTTGTTGGCAATGACACAGGTCAAACGTTTTCTGTAAGTCTTCACAAGGTTTTCACAAACTGTTGCTGGTATTTTGGCCCATTCCTCCATGCAGATCTCCTCTAGAGCAGTGATGTTTTGGGGCTGTCGCTGGGCAACACAGACTTTCAACTCCCTCCAAAGATTTTCTATGGGGTTGAGATCTGGAGACTGGCTAGGCCACTCCAGGACCTTGAAATGCTTCTTACGAAGCCACTCCTTCGTTGCCCGGGCGGTGTGTTTGGGATCATTGTCATGCTGAAAGACCCAGCCACGTTTCATCTTCAATGCCCTTGCTGATGGAAGGAGGTTTTCACTCAAAATCTCACGATACATGGCCCCATTCATTCTTTCCTTTACACGGATCAGTCGTCCTGGTCCCTTTGCAGAAAAACAGCCCCAAAGCATGATGTTTCCACCCCCATGCTTCACAGTAGGTATGGTGTTCTTTGGATGCAACTCAGCATTCTTTGTCCTCCAAACACGACAAGTTGAGTTTTTACCAAAAAGTTATATTTTGGTTTCATCTGACCATATGACATTCTCCCAATCCTCTTCTGGATCATCCAAATGCACTCTAGCAAACTTCAGACGGGCCTGGACATGTACTGGCTTAAGCAGGGGGACACGTCTTGCACTGCAGGATTTGAGTCCCTGGCGGCATAGTGTGTTACTGATGGTAGGCTTTGTTACTTTGGTCCCAGCTCTCTGCAGGTCATTCACTAGGTCCCCCCGTGTTGTTCTGGGATTTTTGCTCACCGTTCTTGTGATCATTTTGACCCCACAGGGTGAGATCTTGCGTGGAGCCCCAGATCGAGGGAGATTATCAGTGGTCTTGTATGTCTTCCATTTCCTAATAATTGCTCCCACAGTTGATTTCTTCAAACCAAGCTGCTTACCTATTGCAGATTCAGTCTTCCCAGCCTGGTGCAGGTCTACAATTTTGTTTCTGGTGTCCTTTGACAGCTCTTTGGTCTTGGCCATAGTGGAGTTTGGAGTGTGACTGTTTGAGGTTGTGGACAGGTGTCTTTTATACTGATAACAAGTTCAAACAGGTGCCATTAATACAGGTAACGAGTGGGGGACAGAGGAGCCTCTTAAACAAGAAGTTACAGGTCTGTGAGAGCCAGAAATCTTGCTTGTTTGTAGGTGACCAAATACTTATTTTCCACCATAATTTGCAAATAAATTCATTAAAAATCCTACAATGTGATTTTCTGGATTTTTTTTTCTCAATTTGTCTGTCATAGATGACGTGTACCTATGATGAAAATTACAGGCCTCTCTCACCTTTTTAAGTGGGAGAACTTGCACAATTGGTGGCTGACTAAATACTTTTTTCCCCCACTGTAAGTCACTGTCTTTTAGTAACAGTAGACATTAGCATTCACTGCCTCTTGGTGTCACTGTGGCCAGGGGGGGTAATGGGGGCTGGGCATTTAGGGAGGGTTGGGGTTGCTGAAACTTAGCCAGATCCTTACCCAGGATGTCAGAGAGCTTCTGTTTAAAACTGACAGGGACCCCGGTGGAGCCACCCGAGGCCGTCTCCTCTTCCCCCTGTAACTGGGCCTGTAACTGCAGGTGGGCCAGGTTTGGCATAGACCGGGACTGGGTTTGGGGTTGAGGCATGGGCCAAGCCAGAGACAGTGGCTGGGTCTGGGAGGGATTGCTCACTAAAGCATAGACACACGCTGAACTACCCCCCATCCTCTCCTTCTCCCACTCTCTCTCCCCTGCCCTCCCAATAACACCCCTTCTCGGGTTGTAATGAGGAGACCCCTCTGCCAGCCCCAGTTTGTTCAGGTCGACAGTATCCAGGGAGTGGCACCTCTCTTCTTCTTCCTCCTCGTAGAGGGGCAGGCTGTGCTGCGCCCTGAGTGGGGCTGGTGGGCGGTGGTCCTCTATAGTGGCGTACAGATCACTATCAGAGTCAGCCATTGGCTCAGGCCCCGGAATCGGTTCAGTAACAGGAGTTATGAGTGGAGTGTTGGGTAAGAGGTTGTTTCTCATTGGTAGAGGAGGGGCAGTGGGTCTGTCTGATAGGTCGGTCAGGGTGCGGGTGTGGACTCTTTGTTTGTTAGGAGGGTGAGGAGAAGAGGAGGAGGAGGTGTGATGGAGTTTAGGAGAGGAGGAAGATGTGTGAGGAGAGGGAGGAGAGGAGGAGTGAGGGAGTTTAGGCGAGGAGGAAGAATGAGGAAGTTGAGGAGAGGAAGAGTTGCCAGGAGGCTGGGTAGAGGTCTTGGTGTCTTTATTGTCCATTTCGCTGTGCAGAGTAAGTGCATCTACAATGGCCTTGTAGATCTGAGGAGCATGCTTAGACAGGAAGGTGAATTGACCCTCTCCTGAGGTACAGCGACGACCTGCCTCGAAGCTGAAGCCCCCCTGTCAATCACACACACACACACAACACAAGAATGGGTTACTCCAGGATTGACCAATCACTGCACTATTACCACATAAAACAGTAAAAACATCACAATATTATTGCAGAAAATTGACAGATCACCGCACTACAAAAAGAGGGCTCACAATTTCAACCAATCACCACACATCTACCGCATAATATGGTTCAGTCAAGCCACAAGGCAACAAACTTTTTTCTTCGTCAGCACATTTTTGTGACAAATTGGACTAAATCATTGCATATTGCCATGCAAAATTTTAGAATTTCCGCCACAAAATCCTGGAGGGACTGGTTATTCAGTTCTGATGATTATGATAGACACAACACAACTCTGATATCTACTGGACATTACCACTGAATAATCGGACTAATCTCACCTCTGACCTTTTACCTTGACCTGTCCAAAGCGTCGTAGGAGCTGGTAGAACCAGCAGTAGAGGGTCTGACCTCTGACCTTTTACCTTGACCTGTCCAAAGCGTCGTAGGAGCTGGTAGAACCAGCAGTAGAGGGTCTGACCTCTGACCTCTTACCTTGACCTGTCCAAAGCGTCGTAGGAGCTGGTAGAACCAGCAGTAGAGGGTCTGACCTCTGACCTCTTACCTTGACCTGTCCAAAGCGTCGTAGGAGCTGGTAGAACCAGCAGTAGAGGGTCTGACCTCTGACCTCTTACCTTGACCTGTCCAAAGCGTCGTAGGAGCTGGTAGAACCAGCAGTAGAGGGTCTGACCTCTGACCTCTTACCTTGACCTGTCCAAAGCGTCGTAGGAGCTGGTAGAACCAGCAGTAGAGGGTCTGACCTCTGACCTCTTACCTTGACCTGTCCAAAGCGTCGTAGGAGCTGGTAGAACCAGCAGTAGAGGGTCTGACCTCTGACCTCTTACCTTGACCTGTCCAAAGCGTCGTAGGAGCTGGTAGAACCAGCAGTAGAGGGTCTGACCTCTGACCTCTTACCTTGACCTGTCCAAAGCGTCGTAGGAGCTGGTAGAACCAGCAGTAGAGGGTCTGACCTCTGACCCTTTACATTGACCTGTCCAAAGCGTCGTAGGAGCTGGTAGAACCAGCAGTAGAGGGTCTGACCTCTAACCCTTTACATTGACCTGTCGAAGCGTTGTAGCAGCTGGTAGGGCCAGCATTTGACGGTTTGACCTCTAACATATAACCTGCGACCTTTAACCCTTTACTTTGACCTTTAAAAGGGAAATCCTTCGTTGAAAAAAGTAACAAAGCAGGCTCATACACAGAGCTATGACTGACCATCCAATATATCAACATTATAGTTTGAAGCATGATGTCTCGGCTATACAGTGTTTGTTTACATTTGCAATGTTTACAAACATTGGAGTAAAACAAGTTTATATTTTGGGTTCTGATGAGGTACGACAGTTGAACTAAGCTGATGAGGCATTTATAAGTTATATTCTTCAAGAACCAATGGGTGTATATCATTCATTTATAAGTCAAAAAATGGATGTAGCAACTGCAGATTGCCCCTCTAACCTCTAACCTTGACCTGTCCGAAGCGTCATAGCAAGTGAAGAGCCAGCAGTAGACGGTCTGACCTCTAACCTCTAACCTTGACCTGTCCGAAGCGTCATAGCAAGTGAAGAGCCAGCAGTAGACGGTCTGACCTCTGACCTCTTACCTTGACCTGTCCAAAGCGTCGTAGCAGGTGGTAGGGCCAGCAGTAGACGGTCTGACCTCTGACCTCTTACCTTCACCTGTCCGAAGCGTCATAGCAAGTGAAGAGCCAGCAGTAGACGGTCTGACCTCTAACCTCTAACCTTGACCTGTCCGAAGCGTCATAGCAAGTGAAGAGCCAGCAGTAGACGGTCTGACCTCTGACCTCTTACCTTGACCTGTCCAAAGCGTCGTAGCAGGTGGTAGGGCCAGCAGTAGACGGTCTGACCTCTGACCTCTTACCTTGACCTGTCCAAAGCGTCGTAGCAGGTGGTAGGGCCAGCAGTAGACGGTCTGACCTCTGACCTCTTACCTTGACCTGTCCAAAGCGTCGTAGCAGGTGGTAGGGCCAGCAGTAGACGGTCTGACCTCTGACCTCTTACCTTGACCTGTCCAAAGCGTCGTAGCAGGTGGTAGGGCCAGCAGTAGACGGTCTGACCTCTTACCTTGACCTGTCCAAAGCGTCGTAGCAGGTGGTAGGGCCAGCAGTAGACGGTCTGACCTCTGACCTTGACCTGTCCAAAGCGTCGTAGCAGGTGGTAGGGCCAGCAGTAGACGGTCTGACCTCTGACCTCTTACCTTGACCTGTCCAAAGCGTCGTAGCAGGTGGTAGGGCCAGCAGTAGACAGTCTGACCTCTGACCTCTTACCTTGACCTGTCCAAAGCGTCGTAGCAGGTGGTAGGGCCAGCAGTAGACGGTCTGACCTCTGACCTCTTACCTTGACCTGTCCAAAGCGTCGTAGCAGGTGGTAGGGCCAGCAGTAGACGGTCTGACCTCTGACCTCTTACCTTGACCTGTCCAAAGCGTCGTAGCAGGTGGTAGGGCCAGCAGTAGACGGTCTGACCTCTGACCTCTTACCTTGACCTGTCCAAAGCGTCGTAGCAGGTGGTAGGGCCAGCAGTAGACGGTCACACCTGTCTGGAGGTCCTGGAGCAAGATGGTGTCTTGTTCTGGCAAGAGGAGGTAACTTCCTGTCAGCTGACATCTCCTCGACGCCTCATTGGTCTGAACTGTCACCTGGTATCGGGCTGGGAGGAGCAGAAGGAAGAGGGGAGGGGGAGGAGGAAAGATATTTAAACATCACGATGTTAACTTGAGATTCATTAAGATTCATCATTCATACATGGACATTTAGGTAGCTCCCTACACAAAACCCTAACATGCTGACTAGTCAAAAATACTTCTTTATTTGAATAAAAAGCACATAAATAGATTCAACACAAAAGGGCACAAGGATATTCCAATTATTTTCACCACAGATATTATTTTCTGCAGTCTTCAGCTTGTCAGTGGGGTGTGAAGTCAACAGAAATGAAAAGACATTTGGATAAGCCAGAACCTTTTCTCTCCTGTGTGTCTGAGCCTCTGAGATCTCTCAGAGGATGCCAGCGTCCCAAACGGTACCCTATTCCCTTTATGGGGATCTAAAGTAGTGCACTATGTAGGGAATAGGGTGCAATTGGGGTGCAGTTTCTTTCTGCTGATGTCATCCTGTTTAAATAATAATAAATAATATGCCATTTAGCAGACGCTTTTATCCAAAGCGACTTACAGTCATGCGTGCATACATTTTTGTGTATGGGTGGTCCCGGGGATCGAACCCACTACCTTGGCGTTACAAGCGCCGTGCTCTACCAGCTGAGCTACAGAGGACCACTGTTTCATACTACAGTGATAATTAAAAGCGCCCTAGAAAACATCCATCCCATTCATTTATTCACCATCCATTCTTTCTTTGCAAATAGACCATTTAGGTTAATTACAGGACCTTTTCATTCTGCGTGGGTTCTTCTAAAAAGAGCAGTCTCATCCTTCTCTGTTCCGTTGGGCCATACTGTGTCCTGTTTCAAAACCCTCAGCGCTTACAGGACAGATCACTGTGATAACAACACAGTGTATAGTAACAGTAGTGGGGCAGATCTGGCGCGCATTTCCAAGACATACTGTAGATACACTGCATGACCAAAAGTATGTGGACACCTGCTCGTCCAACATCTCATTCCAAAATCATGGGCATTAATCTGGAGTTGGTCCCCCCCCTTTGCTGCTATAACAGCCTCCACTCTTCTGGGAAGGCTTTCCACTAGATGTTGGAACATTACTGCGGGGACTTGCTTCCATTCAGCCACAAGAGCATTAGTGAGGTCGGGCACTGATGTTGGGCGATTAGGTCTGGCTCGCAGTTGGCGCTCCAATTCATCCCAAAGGTGTTCGATGGGGTTTAGGTCAGGGCTCTGTGCAGGCCAGTCAAGTTCCTTCACACTGATCTCGACAAACCATGCTGTAGCGTTAAAGATTTCCCTTCACTGGAACTAAGGGGCCCGAACCATGAAAAACAGCCCCAGACCATTATTCCTCCTCCACCAAACTTTACAGTTGGCACTATGCATTGGGGCAGGTAGCGTTCTCCTGGCATCCGCCAAACCCAGATTAGTCTGTCGGACTGCCAGATGTTGAAGCGTGATTCATCACTCCATATAATATATTTCCACTGCTCCAGAGTCCAATGGCGGCGAGCTTTACACCACTCCAGCCGACGCTTGGCATTGCTCATGGTGATCTTAGGCTTGTGTGCGGCTGCTCGGCCATGGAAACCCATTTCATGAAGCTCCTGACGAACAGTTCTTGTGCTGACGTTGCTTCCAGAGGCAGTTTGGAACTCGGTAGTGAGTGTTGCAACCGAGGACAGACAATTTTTACGGCGGTCCCGTTCTGTGAGCTTGTGTGGCCTACCACTTCGCGGCTGAGCCGTTGTTGCTCCTAGACGTTTCCACTTCACAATAACAGTACTTACAGTTGACCGGGGCAGCTCTAGCAGGGGCAGAAATTTGACGAACTGACTTGTGCCACGTTGAAAGTCACTGAGCTCTTCAGTACGGGCCATCCTACTGCCAATGTTTGTCTATGGAGATTGCATGGCTGTGTGCTCGATTTTATACACCTGTCAGCAACAGTGTGGCTGAAATATCTGAATCCACTAATTTGAAGGGGTGTCCACATACTGCTGTATATATAGTGTATGCCGTATATAGTATATGTGTGGGTGTGTGGGTGTGTGGGTGTGTGGGTGTGTGGGTGTGTGCATTCTATGTACCTGTCTTCCAGGTAGCATACAGCTCATTCTCCTCCATGGCTATCTCCGTCCCATCTCCTCTCTCCTTCTCTCTGCTCTCTGTGTTTCCAGGGTCTTTCTGCAGCAGAAGAAAAGGAGGGTGATATTACACGTCCTCAACTTGAGAATACCAGTGCTGAGATAAAACATCATGCTGAGATAAATGAATGAGGCCCAGACAGAGAGTATTGTTCTGATTTCACAGAAGTCTTGGTCAAGTGGCAGAGCATTGTAAACTTTAGGTTACAGTTTAGCTTTATAATCATAATGAATACTCTGTGTGTCTGGGCCTCTCATTCATTCAATCTCTATGATTACATGGAAAGCTGATCCTAGATCAGTACGCCTACTCTAAGACATTTTATGTATACGAGCCCAGAGCGCTGTAAACGTTAAGGTTAAACAACGAGGTGATCTCTCGTATCTCCGTTAGTTTTATGACTGTAATACTGTTTGAGAGGTGACTAGGGGGGAGGGGAGACAGGGTTTGAGAGGTGACTAGGGGGGAGGGGAGACAGGGTTTGAGAGGTGGCTAGGGGGGAGGGGAGACAGGGTTTGAGTAAGCAGCAGTAAGGAGAAGTGAGGAGGTGACGAACTGTTGCTTTCAGGACTACTTCCTCATTGTTGCCAGTGGGTTTGCTTGCAAATAGCAGCTTACTGGGCGCTGGTCAAAAATGAGTGAAGTATAAGGATGCCCTATAGGAAATAGGGTGCATTTGGGACGGGCTGAGCTACACTACAAGACCCTTTAATGTTGTCTCATGAATACTAGCCCCATCTGATGTTGTCTTATGAATTCTAGCCCCTTCTAATGTTGTCTTATTTACATTTACATTTTAGTGATTTAGCAGACGCTCTTATCCAGAGCGACTTACAGTTAGTGAGTGCATACACTTTTCTTATGAATACTAGCCCCTTCTAATGTTCTTTCACCTTCTGTATAAAAATGTGATAATAGCAATAAATGTCAAACTGGCTATTTATATAGTCCCTCCCCCCAGGAAGGTAGGAGATACTGACATAAACACTATTTATATAGTCCCCTCCCCCCAGGAAGGTAGGAGATACTGACATAAACACTATTTATATAGTCCCCTCCCCCCAGGAAGGTAGGAGATACTGACATAAACACTATTTATATAGTCCCCTCCTCCCAGGAAGGTAGGAGATACTGACATAAACACTATTTATATAGTCCCTACCCCCAGGAAGGTAGGAGATACTGACATAAACACTATTTATATAATCCCTCCCCCCAGGAAGGTAGGAGATACTGACATAAACACTATTTATATAGTCCCCTCCCCCTGGAAGGTAGGAGATACTGACATAAACACTATTTATATAGTCCCCTCCCCCCAGGAAGGTAGGAGATACTGACATAAACACTATTTATATAGTCCCCTCCCCCCAGGAAGGTAGGAGATACTGACATAAACACTATTTATATAGTCCCTCCCCCCAGGAAGGTAGGAGATACTGACATAAACACTATTTATATAGTCCCCTCCTCCCAGGAAGGTAGGAGATACTGACATAAACACTATTTATATAGTCCCCTCCTCCCAGGAAGGTAGGAGATACTGACATAAACACTATTTATATAGTCCCCTCCTCCCAGGAAGGTAGGAGATACTGACATAAACACTATTTATATAGTCCCCTCCTCCCAGGAAGGTAGGAGATACTGACATAAACACTATTTATATAGTCCCTCCCCCCAGGAAGGTAGGAGATACTGACATAAACACTATTTATATAGTCCCCTCCCCCCAGGAAGGTAGGAGATACTGACATAAACACTATTTATATAGTCCCCTACCCCCCAGGAAGGTAGGAGATACTGACATAAACACTATTTATATAGTCCCCTCCCCCCAGGAAGGTAGGAGATACTGACATAAACACTATTTATATAGTCCCCTCCTCCCAGGAAGGTAGGAGATACTGACATAAACACTATTTATATAGTCCCCTCCTCCCAGGAAGGTAGGAGATACTGACATAAACACTATTTATATAGTCCCCTACCCCCCAGGAAGGTAGGAGATACTGACATAAACACTATTTATATAGTCCCCTCCCCCCAGGAAGGTAGGAGATACTGACATAAACACTAGTTATATAGTCCCTCCCCCCAGGAAGGTAGGAGATACTGACATAAACACTATTTATATAGTCCCCTCCTCCCAGGAAGGTAGGAGATACTGACATAAACACTATTTATATAGTCCCTCCCCCCAGGAAGGTAGGAGATACTGACATAAACACTATTTATATAGTCCCCTCCCCCCAGGAAGGTAGGAGATACTGACATAAACACTATTTATATAGTCCCCTCCTCCCAGGAAGGTAGGAGATACTGACATAAACACTATTTATATAGTCCCCTCCTCCCAGGAAGGTAGGAGATACTGACATAAACACTATTTATATAGTCCCCTCCTCCCAGGAAGGTAGGAGATACTGACATAAACACTATTTATATAGTCCCCTACCCCCCAGGAAGGAAGGAGATACTGACATAAACACTATTTATATAGTCCCCTCCCCCCAGGAAGGTAGGAGATACTGACATAAACACTATTTATATAGTCCCTCCCCCCAGGAAGGTAGGAGATACTGACATAAACACTATTTATATAGTCCCTCCCCCCAGGAAGGTAGGAGATACTGACATAAACACTAGTTATATAGTCCCTCCCCCCAGGAAGGTAGGAGATACTGACATAAACACTATTTATATAGTCCCTACCCCCAGGAAGGTAGGAGATACTGACATAAACACTATTTATATAGTCCCTCCCCCCAGGAAGGTAGGAGATACTGACATAAACACTATTTATATAGGCCCCTCCCCCCAGTGTACCTGGAAGATAAAACTCCCCCCTACCTGGAAGGCTAGTTGACAGAGAGCCTCCACCCAGTCATGGTAGGTCTCTGAGGCCAGGATGTAACTTCTCTGTGTGGTGTTCAGATAGAATGCTCTACAGTCTGGAGGCAGTTCAAAGTCCAACGTTTTTATTTTAGAAAAGAGAAGAAAAGCGGCAATACATTTAATAAAACAACATTTTCAAAACAGCTAAACTGCCTTAATCAGGGTTTCAACAGTTTCTCAGATTGCAGATACACTGATATGAACCGATAAAGGACCGGTTTCATGGACAGATTAAGCCGAGTTCTGGACTACAAAGCTCAAAAGGAAAGTCTCCATTGAAATAGGTTTTTAGTCAAGAACTAGGTTTAATCTGTGTACGGGTCTGGAAACCGTAGAAGATCCAGATTAACTAGACATTCTGCCACTAATAAAACCTGAGTATTCGCAATAAAATCAGATTATTTTGTGCATGTAAACATACCAAATTGTGGCACTAATAAATAACAATGAGATAAATAGAACACTATTACCGTCGTTAGGTAGGGCTGGAGGGCAGCTCTCCTCTGGGGCAGGGACGACACTGAGACAGTCACACAGCTGAACAACCCTCCTACCCTGGGGGGACTTGGGCTTGGAGGCGTTGCCGGTGGGGGTGGTAAGGCCTCCGTCAAGGAGGTCGAAGAGTTCGACTCGACCGATGCCGAAGATGCTAGGGGGGTAGAGAACCATCCACGTCTTCCTCCACGTTTTCTGTGAAGGAGGGATGCAGCGGTCAATCAACGAAGCAATCAAATCACGATTCCTTTTTTTTTTTTTTTTACTGTTGAAATAACTGTCATAAACATCACTTGAATTTATAAAATCAGATGAGAATAGCCTTGAACATTTCTTCCGACATTAGTGAAGACTTTCATCTATTAGCTCAGTTGAGTAAAGTCCTGCAAATACACAGCATCTTTGTAAAACACTCACCTTTCCAAACTTGTTTCCCTTAAGGTATATCATCCCCTCCTTGAAAACAACCTCCATGCCTCTCCCTCTGTGTAATTAAGGCAATCAAACAAAAAAACAGTCCTTGACCCCCACCCTAAAAATGTAGCCTACGTCCTCTCTTAAGTCTGTCTGTTAGTTAGGTTATCCTCTAGTGCAACTACGTAGTCTTCGTTCTAATCTCCGTTAAGTTAACCTCCAGCACCTCAGAGTACTGAACCCTTTCCCAGCCTGTGTTTTAATGCGGTGACATCCACCACTACCAACTGACAGTCCAGTCCCTTCCCCAGTCTCTCCACCGCAGCTGTGTTCCAGTGTACTCTGATGCGATAGTGACCCTGCCGTTAGTTCAGCAGTAGCAATACGTTCACCGCCCCTTCCTTCCCCTCTCCAACACCACGGATGATTAAGCTCGTTCTTAGTTACAATCTAAAAAATGCTTATTGTGTTCACAATGGTTACGGAAGATACACACTTCCCTTGGTATTTCAACACACGTTTCTACAGTAGAAATGTTACTAAATCTTTCCACTGCCCGTAAACACGAACACAGTGAAAGTCTGATGTGGTTTGTCAAATTGGTTTATTAACATTACAATAGCGTTGCAGAGAAATGTACATTTATTTTAATACAAAACAGCAAATAATAAAACAGATGGAAGAGAAATTCAGAGTTGCACAAAAATAGTTCAACCAAGCTGTAGCCTTTTATACCCACAGAGCCTTTCTGTCTTCATCTTACCAGCCCTGGGGACAATGTTGGGCAACAATAAAAAAATACATGTTACTTCCTCTATTCCAAAACTGCTCTGAGAAACTGGGCCATCAGAACTATGTCAGTCTCACATCATAACCATGTCAGTCTCACAGAGCCATGGATATCAAGCAGAGCTGCTGGGTCAAAATCATCTGTCAACACATATTTCAGGTGACAATCCTTTTGGGACAATCCCAATTGGTCCCATTGTACCTGGCAAACCACACCAGGCACAGCATAAGTAGGTGACAGTATTCTGAGTCCTCCAAGTAGGTGCTGGTATTCTGTAAAGTAAATTCAGAAGTCCATGGAGCTGTGTGCCAGGTAGTCTTTGCGTCCGATGTTGGTGACCTGTTTGGTCTGCATGGCCTCCAGTTTGGGACAGTCTGTGATACGATGACCAAGACCACCACAGAACGTACAGCCTCTCTCTCCTGGGGAACACAAGCAGAGACACAACAGGTAGGTTAGAATGGGGAGGAACCAGGCCAAGTCATGACAGACATCTGGGCTAGTCATAGTTACAGCAATAAACGATTAAAAATAAATAAAAAACTTATGTGACTAGAAAAGGAGATAGAGGGAATAAGACAAAGGGAGAGAGAAGCAGCTGAAAGAAAAGCAATTTTTTTGTCCATTAAAATAACATCAAATTGATCAGAAATACAGTGTAGACATTGTTAATGTTGTAAATGGCTTTTGTAGCTGGAAACAGCTGATTTTTAATGGAATATCTACATAGGCGTACAGAGGCCCATTATCAGCAACCATCAGTCCTGTGTTCCAATGGCACGTTGTGTTTGCTAATCCAAGTTTATCATTTTAAAAAGGCTAATTGATCATTAGAAAACCCTTTTGCAATTATGTTAGCACAGCTGAAAACTGTTGTGCTGATTAAAGAAACAATAAAACTGGCCTTCTTGAGACTAGTTGAGTATCTGGAGCAACAGCAAATGTGGGTTCGATTACAGGCTCAAAATGGCCAGAAACAAAGAACTTCCTTCTGAAACTTGTCAGTCTATTCTTGTTCTGAGAAATGAAGGCTATTTCCGGAAGGTCAGTCAATACGGAAAATGTCAAGAATTTTGAAAGTTTCTTCAAGTGCAGTCGCAAAAACCATCATGCGCTAAGATGAAACTGGCTCTCATGAGGACCGCCAAAGGAAAGGAAGACCCAGAGTTACCTCTGCTGCAGAGAATAAGTTCATTAGAGTTACCAGCCTCAGAAATTGCAGCCCATATAAATGCTTCACAGAGTCACAGAGACATCTCAACATCAACTGTTCAGAGGGGACTGTGTGAATCAGGCCTTCATGGTCGAATTGCTGCAAAGAAACCACTACTAAAAGGACACCAATACGATTGACCTGCTTGGGCCAAGAAACACGAGCAGACCGGTGGAAATTTGTCCTTTGGTCTAATGAGTCCAAATTGGAGATTTTGGGTTCAAACTGCTGTGTCTTTGTGAGATGCGGTGTGGGTGAACGGATGATCTCCGCGTGTGTAGTTCCCCCGTGAAGCATGGAGGAGGAGGTGTTATAGTGTAGGGGTGCTTTGCTGGTGACACTGTGATTTATTTAGAATTCAAGGCACACTTAACCAGCATGGCTACCACAGCATTCTGCAGCGATACGCCATCCCATCTGGTTTGGGCTTAGTGGGACTATCATTTGTTTTTCAACAGGACAATGACCCAACACACCTCCAGGCTGTGTAAGGGCTATTTTACCAAGAAGGAGAGTGATGGAGTGCTGCATCAGATGACCTGGCCTCTACAATCCCCCGACCTCAACCCAATTGAGATGGTTTGGGATGAGTCGGACAGCAGAATGAAGGAAAAGCAGCCAACAAGTGCTCAGCATATGTGGGAACTCCTTAAAGACTGTTGGAAAAGCATCCCAGGTGAAGCTGGTTGAGAGAATACCAAGAGTGTACAAAGCTGTCATCAAGGCAAAGGGTGGCTATTTGAAGAATCTCAAATATAAAATGTATTTTGATTTGTTTAACACTTATGGTTACTACATGATTCCATATGTGTTATTTCATAGTTTTGATGTCTTCACTATTATTCTACAATGTAGAAATAATGAAAAACCTTGAATGAGTAGGTGTGTCCAAACATTTGACTGGTAGTGTACATTTCTCTCACTCTCTCTCTGTGTTGATACAGTGGGGAGAACAAGTATTTGATACACTGCCGATTTTGCAGGTTTTCCTACTTACAAAGCATGTAGAGGTCTGTAATTTTTATCATAGGTACACTTCAACTGTGAGAGACGGAATCTAAAACAAAAATCCAGAAAATCACATTGTATGATTTTTAAGTAATTAATTTGCATTTTATTGCATGACATAAGTATTTGATCACCTACCAACCAGTAAGAATTCCGGCTCTCACAGACCTGTTAGTTTTTCTTTAAGAAGCCCTCCTGTTCTCCACTCATTACCTGTATTAACTGCACCTGTTTGAACTCGTTACCTGTATAAAAGACACCTGTCCACACACTCAAACAGACTCCAACCTCTCCACAATGGCCAAGACCAGAGAGCTGTGTAAGGAAATCAGGGATGAAATTGTAGACCTGCACAAGGCTGGGATGGGCTACAGGACAATAGGCAAGCAGCTTGGTGAGAAGGCAACAACTGTTGGCGCAATTATTAGAAAATGGAAGAAGTTCAAGATGACGGTCAATCACCCTCGGTCTGGGGCTCCATGCAAGATCTCACCTCGTGGGGCATCAATGATCATGAGGAAGGTGAGGGATCAGCCCAGAACTACATGGCAGGACCTGGTCAATGACCTGAAGAGAGCTGGGACCACAGTCTCAAAGAAAACCATTAGTAACACACTACGCCGTCATGGATTAAAATCCTGCAGCGCACGCAAGGTCCCCCTGCTCAAGCCAGCGCATGTCCAGGCCCGTCTGAAGTTTCCCAATGACCATCTGGATGATCCAGAGGAGGAATGGGAGAAGGTCATGTGGTCTGATGAGACAAAAATAGAGCTTTTTGGTCTAAATGCCACTCGCCGTGTTTGGAGGAAGAAGAAGGATGAGTACAACCCCAAGAACACCATCCCAACCGTGAAGCATGGAGGTGGAAACATCATTCTTTGGGGAGGCTTTTATGCAAAGGGGACAGGACGACTGCACCGTATTGAGGGGAGGATGGATGGGGCCATGTATTGCGAGATCTTGGCCAACAACCTCCTTCCCTCAGTAAGAGCATTGAAGATGGGTCGTGGCTGGGTCTTCCAGCATGACAACGACCCGAATCACACAGCCAGGGCAACTAAGGAGTGGCTCCGTAAGAAGCATCTCAAGGTCCTGGAGTGGCCTAGCCAGTCTCCAGACCGGAACCCAATAGAAAATCTTTGGAGGTAGCTGAAAGTCCGTATTGCCCAGCGACAGCCCCGAAACCTGAAGGATCTGGAGAAGGTCTGTATGGAGGAGTGGGCCAAAATCCCTGCTGCAGTGTGTGCAAACCTGGTCAAGACCTACAGGAAACGTATCATCTCTGTAATTGCAAACAAAGGTTTCTGTACCAAATATTAAGTTCTGCTTTTCTGATGTATCAAATACTTATGTCATGCAATTAAATGCAAATTAATTACTTAAAAATCATACAATGTGATTTTCTGGATTTTTGTTTTAGATTCCGTCTCTCACAGTTGATGTGTACCTATGATACAAATTACAGACCTCTACATGCTTTGTAAGTAGGAAAACCTGCAAAATCGGCAGTGTATCAAATACTTGTTCTCCCCACTGTATAATAATAAATAATAAATAATATGCCATTTAGCAGACGCTTTTATCCAAAGTGACTTACAGTCATGTGTGCATACATTTTTACATATGGGTGGTCCCGGGGATTGAACCCACTACCCTGGCGTTACAAGCGCCGTGCTCTACCAGCTGAGCTACAGAGGACCAGAGGACCAGAGGATACAGTGCATTCGGAAAGTATTTAGACCTCTTCCCCTTTTTACACATTTTGTTAAGTTACAGCCTTATTCTAAAATGGATTAAAACATTTTTTTTTACCTCATCAATCTGCACACAATACCCCATAATGAAAAATCTAAAACAGGTTTTTAGATTATTTTGCAAATGTATTAAAAATAAACACTGAAATACCTTATTTACATAAGTATTCAGACCATTTGCTTTGAGACTCGAAATTGAGCTCAGGTGCATCCTGTTTCCATTCATCATCCTTGAGATGTTTCTACAACTTGATTGGAGTCCACCTGTGGTCAATTCAATTGATTGGACATGATTTGGAAAGGCACACACCTGTCTATATAAGGTCCCACAGTTGACAGTGCATGTCAGAGCAAAAACCAAGCCATGAGGTCGAAGGAATTGTCCGTAGAGCTCCGAGACAGGATTGTGTCGAGGCACAGATCTGGGGAAGGGTACCATTCTTAAATGGAAGAAGTTTGGAATCACCAAGACTCTTCCTAGAGCTGGCCGCCTGGCCAAACTGAGCAATCGGGGGAGAAGGGCCTTGGTCAGGGAGGTGACCAAGAACCCGATGGTCACTCTGACAGAGCTCCAGAGTTCCTCTGTGGAGATGGGAGAACCTTCCAGAAGGACAACTATCTCTGCAGCACTCCACCAATCAGGCCTTTATTGTGGCCAGACGGAAGCCACTCTTCAGTAAAAGGCACATGACAGCCCGCTTGGAGTTTGCCAAAAGGCACCTAAAGGACTCTCAGATCATGAGAAACTACGGTAGATTCTTTGGTCTGATGAAACCAAGATTGAACTCTTTGGCCTGAATGCCAAGCGTCACATCTGGAGGAAACCTGGCACCATCCCTACGGTGAAGCATGGTGGTGGCAGCATCATGCTGTGGGGATGTTTTTCAGTGGCAGGGACTGGGAGACTAGTCAGGATCGAGGGAAAGATGAACGGAGCAAAGTACAGAGAGATCCTTGATGAAAACCTGCTCCAGAGCGCTCAGGACCTCAGACTGGGGCGAAGGTTCACCTTCCAACAGGACAACGACCCTAAGCACACAGCCAAGACAACGCAGGAGTGGCTTCTGGACAAGTCTCTGAATGTCCTGCAGTGGCCCATCCAGAGCCCGGACTTGAACTCGATCTAACATCTCTAGAGGGACCTGGAAATAGCTGTGCAGCGATGCTCCCCATCCAACCTGACAGAGCTTGAGAGGATCTGCAGAGAAGAATGGGAGAAACTCCCCAAATACAGATGTGCCAAGCTTGTAGCGTCATACCCAAGAAGACTCGAGGCTGTAATCGCTGCCAAAGGTGCTTCAGCAAAGTACTGAGTAAAGGGTCTGAATACTTATGTAAATGTGATTTTTTTTAAATATATTTTTTATAAATTAGCACAAAAAAAAAAAACGTTTTGCTTTGTCATTATGGGGGTATTGTGTTCAATTTTAGAATAAGGCTGTAACGTAACAAAATGTGGAAAAGTCAAGGGGTCTGAATACTTCCAGAGAGAGAAATATATAACAGAGAGCGAGAGCGAGACTGCAGATAGGAGGGAGGAAAGAGGCAGAGGTGAGCAGCAGACGGAGATCAGGATGGTGTGTGTTACCTCCGATATCCAGCATGGTCTCGTCTCCCGTCTGTAAGACCTGTAGAACCGGAGGAACCTTCTGCTTGGCTTCTATCAGCAGGGCCTTCAGGTCCATCAGCACCGACTCATCTACAGGACGGAAGACATCGGGGTTGTGTTCAATAGGCACCAAAAAAGGAAGAAAAAAGGACTGCAATAGGGAGAGACTACCTGAACTTAATCCAATAAGAAAGCCTCGTTTTTTAAAAATATTATGTTGCAAAACAATTTTTAAAACATTTTCCGTTCCGTGCCCTAATGGAATACAACCCAGGGCTTCAGACAGGTGTTCTCTCTACAGATCTGTTTTAAGAGGGCGTCTGATAAAACAGTCTTGGATGCAAACTCCAGAAGATGCAATGGAAAGCAAACCATGGCTAGACGTTAGAGAGAGAATCAAGTGGTGGCTTGTTTCTCACCACAGCCTTTGTTGATGAAGGTGGTGGCGATGCCAGTCTTCCCCGACCGACCCGTTCTACCAATCCTGTGGACTGGAACACAACAACAACAACACTTTTTAGTCAGTCGGTGGATGAGTCTGATTAGAGAGAGTCTGATTACAGGGTGACAATAACGTGCACTTTAGGGGAGATATGAGCAGAAATATGAGAAGATTAACAAGAGAAGAAATGTGGTAACACACTCTCTCTCTCTAGGCCGGGTTACTGTGAAAAACATTGTGGTAACTGCTGATGTATAAGGGCTTTATCATTTTGATTGATTGATTGGATGATTGATTGATTTCTGACTGTAAGTTGCTCTGGATAAGATTGTCTGCTAAATGACCAAAATATGTCATGTCAAAAATGTTTGATTGATTCATTAAAATTGATCGAGATGTGAGGTCTCACCATAGTTCTCTATCTCCTCTGGCATATCATAGTTGACCACGTGTTGTATAGCGGGGAAGTCCAGACCTTTAGACGCCACATCAGTAGCTACTAACACATCCTTCTTCCCTTCCTTAAAGGCCTCGATGGCCTTAGTACGCTCCTCCTGGTCTGGAAACACACATAACAGGGTTATTGAGTCTGAAATGGCCCCCTGTTCCCTATTTAGGTAGTCACTGCAGGAAGAGAAGGGGTTTTAAATCTGACCTTTTCCTCCACTCCTTTCAGCACTAGGCGCACTTGTTAGGGTAGGGGACTAGTGGTTGAGGTAGGAAAACTAGGGGTTAGTGATATTACCTTTTCCTCCGTGGATAGCCACAGCCTCCACTCCTTTTAGCAGGAGATATTCATGAATGGCGTCCACGTCTGCTTTCTTCTCAGCAAACATCAGCACCTGGGAGACAGAAAACAACACTAACATCTTACCTTCTGTTCTGATTAAACATCACACACTTTTAGCATGCATTAACATCACCTCTACCTTTGACCTCTTTACCTTTAGTTAGTGCTGTTTGACCTCTACCTTTGACCTCTATACCTATAGTTAGTACTGTTTGACCTCTCTACTGACTAACCAGAATGGAAACAAAAGGTTAACTAGCATAAGTCATTACCATGTCATGTGGCAGAGTGAAAACACAGTACTAACCATGTCATGTGGCAGAGTGAAAACACAGTACTAACCATGTCATGTGGCAGAGTGAAAACACAGTACTAACCATGTCATGTGGCAGAGTGAAAACACAGTACTAACCATGTCATGTGGCAGAGTGAAAACACAGTACTAACCATGTCATGTGGCAGAGTGAAAACACAGTACTAACCATGTCATGTGGCAGAGTGAAAACACAGTACTAACCATGTCATGTGGCAGAGTGAAAACACAGTACTAACCATGTCATGTGGCAGAGTGAAAACACAGTACTAACCATGTCATGTGGTAGAGTGAAAACACAGTACTAACCATGTCATGTGGCAGAGAAAACACAGTACTAACCATGTCATGTGGCAGTGAAAACACAGTACTAACCATGTCATGTGGCAGTGTGAAAACACAGTACTAACCATGTCATGTGGCAGAGAAAACACAGTACTAACCATGTCATGTGGCAGAGTGAAAAACACAGTACTAACCATGTCATGTGGCAGAGTGAAAACACAGTACTAACCATGTCATGTGGCAGAGTGAAAACACAGTACTAACCATGTCATGTGGCAGAGTGAAAACACAGTACTAACCATGTCATGTGGCAGAGTGAAAACACAGTACTAACCATGTCATGTGGCAGAGTGAAAACACAGTACTAACCATGTCATGTGGCAGAGAAAACAGTACTAACCATGTCATGTGGCAGAGTGAAAACACAGTACTAACCATGTCATGTGGCAGAGAAAACACAGTACTAACCATGTCATGTGGTAGAGTGAAAACACAGTACTAACCATGTCATGTGGCAGAGAAAACACAGTACTAACCATGTCATGTGGCAGTGAAAACACAGTACTAACCATGTCATGTGGCAGTGTGAAAACACAGTACTAACCATGTCATGTGGCAGAGAAAACACAGTACTAACCATGTCATGTGGCAGAGTGAAAACACAGTACTAACCATGTCATGTGGCAGAGAAAACACAGTACTAACCATGTCATGTGGCAGTGTGAAAACACAGTACTAACCATGTCATGTGGCAGAGAAAACACAGTACTAACCATGTCATGTGGCAGAGAAAACACAGTACTAACCATGTCATGTGGCAGAGTGAAAACACAGTACTAACCATGTCATGTGGCAGAGTGAAAACACAGTACTAACCATGTCATGTGGCAGAGTGAAAACACAGTACTAACCATGTCATGTGGCAGAGTGAAAACACAGTACTAACCATGTCATGTGGCAGAGTGAAAACACAGTACTAACCATGTCATGTGGCAGAGAAAACACAGTACTAACCATGTCATGTGGCAGAGAAAACACAGTACTAACCATGTCATGTGGCAGAGAAAACACAGTACTAACCATGTCATGTGGCAGTGAAAACACAGTACTAACCATGTCATGTGGCAGTGAAAACACAGTACTAACCATGTCATGTGGCAGAGTGAAAACACAGTACTAACCATGTCATGTGGCAGAGAAAACACAGTACTAACCATGTCATGTGGCAGAGTGAAAACACAGTACTAACCATGTCATGTGGCAGAGTGAAAACACAGTACTAACCATGTCATGTGGCAGAGTGAAAACACAGTACTAACCATGTCATGTGGCAGAGTGAAAACACAGTACTAACCATGTCATGTGGCAGAGAAAACACAGTACTAACCATGTCATGTGGCAGAGTGAAAACACAGTACTAACCATGTCATGTGGCAGTGAAAACACAGTACTAACCATGTCATGTGGCAGTGTGAAAACACAGTACTAACCATGTCATGTGGCAGAGTGAAAACACAGTACTAACCATGTCATGTGGTAGAGAAAACACAGTACTAACCATGTCATGTGGCAGAGTGAAAACACAGTACTAACCATGTCATGTAGTAGAGAAAACACAGTACTAACCATGTCATGTGGTAGAGAAAACACAGTACTAACCATGTCATGTGGTAGAGAAAACACAGTACTAACCATGTCATGTGGTAGAGAAAACACAGTACTAACCATGTCATGTGGCAGAGTGAAAACACAGTACTAACCATGTCATGTGGCAGAGTGAAAACACAGTACTAACCATGTCATGTGGCAGAGTGAAAACACAGTACTAACCATGTCATGTGGCAGAGTGAAAACACAGTACTAACCATGTCATGTGGTAGAGAAAACACAGTACTAACCATGTCATGTGGCAGTGAAAACACAGTACTAACCATGTCATGTGGCAGAGTGAAAACACAGTACTAACCATGTCATGTGGCAGAGTGAAAACACAGTACTAACCATGTCATGTGGTAGAGTAAAAACACAGTACTAACCATGTCATGTGGCAGAGAAAACACAGTACTAACCATGTCATGTGGCAGTGAAAACACAGTACTAACCATGTCATGTGGCAGTGTGAAAACACAGTACTAACCATGTCATGTGGCAGAGAAAACACAGTACTAACCATGTCATGTGGCAGAGTGAAAACACAGTACTAACCATGTCATGTGGCAGAGTGAAAACACAGTACTAACCATGTCATGTGGCAGAGAAAACACAGTACTAACCATGTCATGTGGCAGAGTGAAAACACAGTACTAACCATGTCATGTGGTAGAGAAAACACAGTACTAACCATGTCATGTGGCAGTGAAAACACAGTACTAACCATGTCATGTGGCAGAGTGAAAACACAGTACTAACCATGTCATGTGGCAGAGAAAACACAGTACTAACCATGTCATGTGGTAGAGTGAAAACACAGTACTAACCATGTCATGTGGCAGAGAAAACACAGTACTAACCATGTCATGTGGCAGTGAAAACACAGTACTAACCATGTCATGTGGCAGTGTGAAAACACAGTACTAACCATGTCATGTGGCAGAGAAAACACAGTACTAACCATGTCATGTGGCAGAGTGAAAACACAGTACTAACCATGTCATGTGGCAGAGAAAACACAGTACTAACCATGTCATGTGGCAGAGTGAAAACACAGTACTAACCATGTCATGTGGCAGAGTGAAAACACAGTACTAACCATGTCATGTGGCAGAGTGAAAACACAGTACTAACCATGTCATGTGGCAGAGTGAAAACACAGTACTAACCATGTCATGTGGCAGAGTGAAAACACAGTACTAACCATGTCATGTGGCAGAGAAAACACAGTACTAACCATGTCATGTGGCAGAGAAAACACAGTACTAACCATGTCATGTGGCAGAGAAAAACACAGTACTAACCATGTCATGTGGCAGAGAAAACACAGTACTAACCATGTCATGTGGCAGTGAAAACACAGTACTAACCATGTCATGTGGCAGTGAAAACACAGTACTAACCATGTCATGTGGCAGAGTGAAAACACAGTACTAACCATGTCATGTGGCAGAGTGAAAACACAGTACTAACCATGTCATGTGGTAGAGAAAACACAGTACTAACCATGTCATGTGGTAGAGAAAACACAGTACTAACCATGTCATGTGGTAGAGAAAACACAGTACTAACCATGTCATGTGGTAGAGAAAACACAGTACTAACCATGTCATGTGGAAGAGTGAAAACACAGTACTAACCATGTCATGTGGCAGAGTGAAAACACAGTACTAACCATGTCATGTGGTAGAGAAAACACAGTACTAACCATGTCATGTGGCAGAGTGAAAACACAGTACTAACCATGTCATGTGGCAGAGTGAAAACACAGTACTAACCATGTCATGTGGCAGAGAAAACACAGTACTAACCATGTCATGTGGCAGAGTGAAAACACAGTACTAACCATGTCATGTGGCAGAGTGAAAACACAGTACTAACCATGTCATGTGGCAGAGTGAAAACACAGTACTAACCATGTCATGTGGCAGAGTGAAAACACAGTACTAACCATGTCATGTGGCAGTGAAAACACAGTACTAACCATGTCATGTGGCAGAGTGAAAACACAGTACTAACCATGTCATGTGGTAGAGTGAAAACACAGTACTAACCATGTCATGTGGCAGAGTGAAAACACAGTACTAACCATGTCATGTGGCAGAGTGAAAACACAGTACTAACCATGTCATGTGGCAGAGTGAAAACACAGTACTAACCATGTCATGTGGCAGAGTGAAAACACAGTACTAACCATGTCATGTGGCAGAGTGAAAACACAGTACTAACCATGTCATGTGGCAGTGAAAACACAGTACTAACCATGTCATGTGGCAGTGAAAACACAGTACTAACCATGTCATGTGGCAGAGTGAAAACACAGTACTAACCATGTCATGTGGCAGAGTGAAAACACAGTACTAACCATGTCATGTGGCAGTGAAAACACAGTACTAACCATGTCATGTGGCAGAGAAAACAGTACTAACCATGTCATGTGGTAGAGTGAAAACACAGTACTAACCATGTCATGTGGCAGAGAAAACACAGTACTAACCATGTCATGTGGCAGAGTGAAAACACAGTACTAACCATGTCATGTGGCAGAGAAAACACAGTACTAACCATGTCATGTGGCAGTGAAAACACAGTACTAACCATGTCATGTGGCAGTGAAAACACAGTACTAACCATGTCATGTGGCAGAGAAAACACAGTACTAACCATGTCATGTGGCAGAGAAAACACAGTACTAACCAGAAGTAAAGAAGTAAGTCACTTCTGTAACTAGACACACAGACCAGGTTGAGTACACCTGTACACCAGAGGAGGATGCTGGGAGGAGCTATAGGAACGACTGGCTCATTGGAATGGCTGGAATCAATGGAACAGTATCAAACATATGGAAACCACATGTTTGACTCTGTTCCATTGATTCCATTCTAGCCATTACAATGAGCCCTTCCTCCTATAGCTCCTCCCAGGAGCCTCCTCTGCCATGTGGTGTGGTAGAGAGAACACAGTTAATTGTGTTCAACACAAATAATATATGTTAATTGTGTATATAATCCTTTAAGAAAACCAATGGTCCAAACCTCATGTCTCTATCATAATCCGTTCAATAGTTATTTAAGCAATAAGGCCCGAGGGGGTGTGGTATATGGACGGGCAAGGTCTTGACGAGCTCTCCGGGCCTGGACTAATTGGGGCTGATTGTGGTTGGTGAGTAATCAAGGGGCTGATTGCTTACCAGCTGGACGAGTCCCAGAAGGGCAGCACATGGGACCGGGGACTGGGGACTGGGGACCGGGGACTGGGGACTGGGGACGAGAGGTTATTCCCGTACAGTCGTCCTCAGTACCAGAGATAACGGAGGGAGCTGGGTTTTGTTCCCCACAGGATACAGCAAGACCCCAGAGCTCAGAAGACAGTATCCCGGAGGAGACCCCGGAGCCCAGAAGACAGTATCCCGGAGGAGGTCTCCTGGAGGAGACCCCAGAGCTCAGAAGACAGTATCCTGGAGGAGACCCCAGAGCCCAGAAGACAGTATCCCGGAGGAGACCCCAGAGCCCAGAAGACAGTATCCCGGAGGAGACCTATTATTTTCTCGTTGTTTATTATTTAAATAAACACCCTTGAAACCGAGCTAATACAATTCTGTCCGTGTCTGATCTGTGTAAACATCTTGAGCAACCCTCTTGTCTGCCACACCTGGTATATTGGCCATATACCACAAACCCAGAGGTGCCTTATTGCTATTATAAACTGGTTACCAACCTAATTAGAGCAGTAAAAATAAATGTTTTGTCATACCCGTGGAATACGGTCTGATATACCACGGCTGTCAGCCAATCAGCATTCATGGCTCGAACCACCCAGTTTATAATGTAGTTTTTACCCTTGTAGGGTGGTAAAAGTTAGGGTGACTAAATCAATGGAGGACCGAGGAAAAAACAACAAAGGAAAATTGCACAGCATCACCTCAACTAGGCTGTGAGAATAAAGACCACCTGACAGACACAGCATCACCTCAACTAGGCTGTGAGAATAAAGACCACCTGACAGACACAGCATCACCTCAACTAGGCTGTGAGAATAAAGACCACCTGACAGACACAGCATCACCTCAACTAGGCTGTGAGAATAAAGACCACCTGACAGGCACAGCATCACCTCAACTAGGCTGTGAGAATAAAGACCACCTGACAGACACAGCATCACCTCAACTAGGCTGTGAGAATAAAGACCACCTGACAGACACAGCATCACCTCAACTAGGCTGTGAGAATAAAGACCACCTGACAGACACAGCATCACCTCAACTAGGCTGTGAGAATAAAGACCACCTGACAGGCACAGCATCACCTCAACTAGGCTGTGAGAATAAAGACCACCTGACAGACACAGCATCACCTCAACTAGGCTGTGAGAATAAAGACCACCTGACAGACACAGCATCACCTCAACTAGGCTGTGAGAATAAAGACCACCTGACAGACACAGCATCACCTCAACTAGGCTGTGAGAATAAAGACCACCTGACAGACACAGCATCACCTCAACTAGGCTGTGAGAATAAAGACCACCTGACAGACACAGCATCACCTCAACTAGGCTGTGAGAATAAAGACCACCTGACAGACACAGCATCACCTCAACTAGGCTGTGAGAATGAAGACCACCTGACAGACACAGCATCACCTCAACTAGGCTGTGAGAATAAAGACCACCTGACAGACACAGCATCACCTCAACTAGGCTGTGAGAATAAAGACCACCTGACAGACACAGCATCACCTCAACTAGGCTGTGAGAATAAAGACCACCTGACAGACACAGCATCACCTCAACTAGGCTGTGAGAATAAAGACCACCTGACAGACACAGCATCACCTCAACTAGGCTGTGAGAATAAAGACCACCTGACAGACACAGCATCACCTCAACTAGGCTGTGAGAATAAAGACCACCTGACAGGCTGACTTTCCCGTTGAACTCATCATCTTTCTTCTCGAATCCGCAAGACATAAAACAATATAGAGGTAAGATAGATACAGTGGGGAAAAAAAGTATTTAGTCAGCCACCAATTGTGCAAGTTCTCCCACTTAAAAAGATGAGAGAGGCCTGTAATTTTCATCATAGGTACACGTCAACTATGACAGACAAATTGAGGGAAAAAAAATCAAGAAAATCACATTGTAGGATTTTTAATGAATTTATTTGCAAATTATGGTGGAAAATAAGTATTTGGTCACCTACAAACAAGCAAGATTTCTGGCTCTCACAGACCTGTAACTTCTTCTTTAAGAGGCTCCTCTGTCCTCCACTCGTTACCTGTATTAATGGCACCTGTTTGAACTTGTTATCAGTGTAAAATATACCTGTCCACAACCTCAAACAGTCACACTCCAAACTCCACTATGGCCAAGTCCAAAGAGCTGTCAACGGACACCAGAAACAAAATTGTAGACCTGCACCAGGCTGGGAAGACTGAATCTGCAATAGGTAAGCAGCTTGGTTTGAAGAAATCAACTGTGGGAGCAATTATTAGGAAATGGAATACATACAAGACCACTGATCATCTCCCTCGATCTGGGGCTCCACGCAAGATCTCACCCCGTGGGGTCAAAATGATCACAAGAACGGTGAGCAAAAATCCCAGAACCACACGGGGGGACCTAGTGAATGACCTGCAGAGAGCTGGGACCAAAGTAACAAAGCCTACCATCAGTAACACACTACGCTGCCAGGGACTCAAATCCTGCAGTGCCAGACGTGTCCCCCTGCTTAAGCCAGTACATGTCCAGGTCCGTCTGAAGTTTGCTAGAGTGCATTTGGATGATCCAGAAGAGGATTGGGAGAATGTCATATGGTCAGATTAAACCAAAATATAACTTTTTGGTAAAAACTCAACTCGTCGTGTTTGGAGGACAAAGAATGCTGAGTTGCATCCAAAGAACACCATACCTACTGTGAAGCATGGGGGTGGAAACATCATGCTTTGGGGCTGTTTTTCTGCAAAGGGACCAGGACGACTGATCCGTGTAAAGGAAAGAATGAATGGGGCCATGTATCGTGAGATTTTGAGTGAAAACCTCCTTCCATCAGCAAGGGCATTGAAGATGAAATGTGGCTGGGTCTTTCAGCATGACAATGATCCCAAACACACCGCCCGGGCAACGAAGGAGTGGCTTCATAAGAAGCATTTCAAGGTCCTGGAGTGGCCTAGCCAGTCTCCAGATCTCAACCCCATAGAAAATCTTTGGAGGGAGTTGAAAGTCTGTGTTGCCCAGCGACAGCCCCAAAACATCACTGCTCTAGAGGAGATCTGCATGGAGGAATGGGCCAAAATACCAGCAACAGTGTGTGAAAACCTTGTGAAGACATACAGAAAACGTTTGACCTGTGTCATTGCCAACAAAGGGTATATAACAAAGTATTGAGAAACTTTTGTTATTGACCAAATACTTATTTTCCACCATAATTTGCAAATAAATTCATTAAAAATCCTACAATGTGATTTTCTGGATTTTTTTTTCTCATTTTGTCTGTCATAGTTGACGTGTACCTATGATGAAAATTACAGGCCTCTCTTATCTTTTTAAGTGGGAGAACTTGCACAATTGGTGGCTGACTAAATACTTTTTTTCCCCACTGTATCGTTTTTGAGACATGACATGCAGTATTTTCATATTTTAGTATACGACTTTCTTTTTAGAAGATTTCTCCAGAAACAAGCGTATCTGTGTGACATGTCAACAGAGCACTCAGGGTACCGCAAGCTTTTTCTTTTCAAAGCATTTTACATTTAATTCAGCTCGTGTCATGATCATTTTGCTTTTTTCGATCCGCGGAAACAACTTTGAAGACAACCGCCACAACATGTAAAATCCTCAAAAGTTTGTGTGAGAAAGCTGCATTAGCTCTGTCAACAGAGCTCGGTGCTTATTATTGGATGTATTGGGTTACGAAATCCGACTTCTTGTATATAAATGTTAATGATATGTGAGAGAAAGACCCCACTGAACGATTCAGAACATGAATAATCATATTTGTCTTGGTAAAAATGTATTTTATAACAAAAGGAAGTGAAATTTCATCACCAAAGCGCATTTTCACCCAATCAGAGTGGGACACCCTACAGAACTGTAAGTCGCTCTGGATAAAAGCGTCTGCTAAATGACTAAAATGTAAAAATACTGAGAGGTAACCAGAGAACAGCAGGTTACTAACCGGAGGAGGGGTCTTCTGAAGACATTCCAGCAGGTAAACCATCTTAGCCTCTTCTTTCACATACTCCACTTCCTGGAATTAAACGCAATGTAAAAACAAATCAATGTAAACATTTTAAATTAATTGAGTCACATATAATCAAAAGTCCATTTGCAGTCACCGTGCCAAAGTACACAATCCTATTTCATTTTACGATATTCCTATGCGAGTGCGTCCCAATTTGTACCCTATTCCCCATATAGGGCACTACTTTTGACCAGGTAGTGCACTATATACGGACGAGGGTGCCATTTGGGACGCGAAAATTATTTTTTTCTGCTGGTGTGTTGTACCTGAATGACGTCCAAGCTGGCAGCGCCGGCCCGGCCCACGTTGATGGTGATGGGTTTGACCAGGGCACTCTTGGCAAAGTTCTGGATCTTCTTGGGCATGGTGGCACTGAACAGCAGAGTTTGTCTCTGGCCCTGCACGAAGGATGTAGGTGTTAAAAGCACTGTTTGGTTGACGGTTAGAAAGCATACCACTAGTAGTCACCTAATAGAAACAGTGATGATGTTGTAAAGTGTGCAGGAGCGTTCTGGGGTTAAAATGACCCTGTTTTAAACCCCGCCGTACCTTAAAGTAGGAGAAGATAGTTCTGATGTCTTCCTCAAAGCCCATGTCTATCATCCTGTCAGCCTCGTCCAGAGCCAGATAACGACAGATATCCAGACTGATCATTTTCTTCTGCAGCAGGTCCATCAGACGGCCGGGGGTCGCCACCATCATGTGGACACCGCTACAAACACAGGGTTCAGAGGTCAGACGTCAAACTGGTCCTCACACGGCTGGCTGTGAATCAAGGCTGATATGGCCCTACGGAGCAGGTTGGCGGTCCCTTTCCAGTATAACACGTTTCATCAGCAATGGTACTACAGCTAGACATCTTGATCTAGACGTGTACTTTGTGTGAAGGCTGAACGGGCTCGTCACAAAAAGCATTTTGTTAAAATGGGTCACTTGTCTCTGCTGCACAGATAATGCATTCACATGGAATTGTACCCAAAGTGATGTGTAGAAGGCAGGTTTCCTGTCACATTTCTTCAAATTGACACAAAACAGAATATCACACTATATATTTGAAGCCATCATTGGCTGTATGTACCAACTATTAATGGAGATATGTGAATGTGAATCGTGGCGGGCGGGCGGGGGGGGTAATGGTCAACTTCTGTGATGGCATCTTTAGACATGCCCTAGCTGTGTGTAAAAGCCCACAATTTGACCATGAAGGTCTTAAGAGTACTTTATGATCAGAATTATTGTCTATATTATTGATGGGGTTTAATTAGTGGGTAGAAAAAAATTACAAAGTCATTTTGATATTATTTTGAATGATTTTACCATATTTTCATCTAACAGGTCATCCGAATTTCTGCCACTTTCCTAAAACGGCCTCCCTGGTTGCCTGACAGGCTTCCCGGACTGCCTGCTATATTTAAAATGTTCCTTAAAGAGATTCTCCAGTACTTTTGTATACTTTTTAGCCAGTAGTTCTGAATGTAGCAATCACAAGCCAAAAGTGGTCCCGGAAATTGCGTACTATGTCACATATGTGCAGATACGTGTACCACGTCATTGATCCTTCTAATGTGTCCACTGAGCCTTTGGGCCCGCCCTGCAACCTCATTGGATAACTCTGGGCATGCCTCTTGCTAGCTGTCACTCAAAGGGGTTAGAACTCTATTGCTAGGGGGAGTGGCTACAAGAAAACAGTCTCTTTCTAACTAGGGATTTCCTGGCTAATTGAGGTAAGACAGTAATTCTGCTCATAGATTATGCATGTATGAACAACACATTGACACATCCAGTCCAAAGCAGGAGGTTTAATAAATACTTTCTAAGTCGCCAAAGTACCGGAGCATGTCTTTAAGGTGTATAGTGTTAGTGTACAAGTTTGATAATTTTATCATCAAATGCACAATCTTGGGTATATTTGGTTCTTATCCACTGGACTATGCCTCCTATACAGAGGACTGGCTGACTGGTTGACTGACTGTTTGACTGACTGACTGGCCGGCTGGCTGACTGACTGGCTGGCTGACTGACTGGCTTGTTGGTTGAGTGGCTGGCTGACTGGCTGGCTGGCTGACTGGTTGAGTGGCTGGCTGACTGGCTGGCTGGCTGACTGGTTGAGTGGCTGGCTGACTGGCTGGCTGGCTGACTGGTTGAGTGGCTGGCTGACTGGTTGAGTGGCTGGCTGACTGGTTGACTGGCTGACTGACTGGCTGGCTGGCTGACTGGTTGAGTGGCTGGCTGGCTGGCTGACTGGTTGAGTGGCTGGCTGACTGGTTGAGTGGCTGGCTGACTGGTTGAGTGGCTGGCTGACTAGTTGACTGGCTGACTAGTTGACTGACTGACTGGCCGGCTGGCTGGCTGACTGGTTGAGTGGCTGGCTGACTGGTTGACTGGTTCAGAGTACTTACTGTTTGACTGACTGGCTGACTGACTGACTGGCTGACTGACTGACTGGCTGACTGACTGACTGACTGAGAGTACTTACTGACTGACTGACTGGCTGGCCGGCCGGCTGGCTGACTGGTTGACTGACTGACTGGTTGAGTGGCTGGCTGACTAGCTAACTGACTAGTTGACTGGCTGACTGACTGGTTCAGAGTACTTACTGTTTGACTGACTGGCTGACTGACTGACTGGCTGACTGGTTCAGAGTACTTACTGTTTGACTGACTGACTGGCCGGCCGGCTGGCTGACTGGTTCAGAGTACTTACTGTTTGACCACCTCCATCTGGTCCTTGACAGACATGCCTCCTATACAGAGGACTGATCTCATATGTGGAGCCCCTTCTTCCTCCAGCAGCTTACAGTAGTATTCTATGATGGTGTGGGTCTGTTTAGCCAACTCTCTCTGTAGGGAGAGAAGAGGAACATCAGAAACCTGATCTGTCATCAGTCAATTTTATCATCTATGGAAGAGAAAGTGGTCAAGAGCGAATCAGAGTACAGTGTGAAGCTCTTACTGAGGGACAGATGATGAGACCGTAGGGTCCTTCACTCTTACAGAAGGGCAGCTTCTTCTCCTGCTCCAGAGAGAACATGATGATGGGGAGGGTGAACACCAGAGTCTTTCCTGAACCTGTGAAGGCGATACCGATCATATCCCGGCCTGAGAGACTGCACACAGAGAGATACAGAGGAAACCAATCAATCATATTGTATTGATATAGCCAACCAATCAATCAATCATATTGTATTGATATAGCCAACCAATCAATCAATCATATTGTATTGATATAGCCAACCAATCATATTGTATTGATATAGCCCTTTTTACTATAATTGTTTCAGAGCTTTACAGTAACAGAGAGAAGCGAAGACAACCAATGAGAATCCAGTTAAACATTGTATAGCTTTATATATCTCCAGGAATCATGTTCATTTAATAAGGAACTTGGGCCACATCATCAGTGGTATACTACTGTCCTTACATGGTGGGAATTCCCTGGATTTGAATGGGTGTGGGGTGAACGATTCCCTTCTTTTTCAGACCTTTCAGGATTGCTGCAAACACATGGTTAAAGAAGGTTGGGGAATGAATGACTACTACAAAAACATATCATCACCACTTTTCAAATGAATAAAAAGGTGTAAAACAAAATGGAAGGTAAGGTTTTCAATAAAAGTTATGTCTGTCTGTCTGTCTGGTGTTTCTCCGTGTAGAAACTTGGGTTTCAGTGATCTTTTGAACTAATCATATCTTTAGTGAACCTCAGGGTCTCACCCTGTGTGTCTGTGGTGTGTGGTGTGGTGTGGTGTGTGTGTGTGTGTGTGTGTGTGTGGTGTGGTGTGGTGTGGTGTGGTGTGGTGTGTGTGTGTGTGGTGTGTGGTGTGTGTGTGGTGTGTGTGTGTGTGTGTGTGTGTGTGTGTGTGTGTGTGTGTGTGTGTGTGTGTGTGTGTGTGTGTGTGTGTGTGTGTGTGTGTGTGTGTGTGTGTGTATGGTGTGTGTGTGTGTGTGTGTGTGTGGTGTGTGTGTGTGTGTGTGTGTGGTGTGTGGTGTGTGTCTCTCACCCTGTGGGAACTTCATCTCCCTGAAGCTCTTGATGGGCGGAGGGATACCGTCACCGTCGACCAGGATGTGGTACTTCTTCCTGACGCGGTCGTGTCTCGCAGGGGGCATGTTCAGGATGTAGCGCGGAGCCAACCAACTAAAACAATAACAACGGTACATTTTACACTGAACAACAATATAAAGGCAACGTGTAGTGTTGGTCCCATGTTTCATGAGCTGAAATAAAAAGGTCCTCTGTAGCTCAATTGGTAGAGCATGGCGCTTGTAACGCCAGGGTAGTGGGTTCGATCCCCGGGACCACCCATACGTAAAAATGTATGCACACATTTGGATAAAAGCGTCTGCTACATGGCATATTAAAAGATCCCTGACATTTTCAGTACACACAAAAAGCTTATTCTCTCAAAATGTTATGCACAAATGGATTACATCCCTGTTAGTGAGCATTTGTCCTTTGCCAAGATAATCCATCCACCTGACAAGTGTGACATATCAAGAAGCTGATTAAACATCATGATCATTACACAGGTGCACCTTGTGCTGGGGACAATAAAAGGCCACTCTAAAATGTCACAGATGCAATTAGCATGCTGACTGCAGGAATGTCCACCGTAGCTGTTTCCAGATAATTGAATGTTAATTTCTCTACTATAAGCCACCTCCAACATCGTTTTAGAGAATTTGGCAGTACGTCCAACCGGCCTCACAACCTCAGGCCATGTGTAACCACGCCATCCCAGGACCTCCACATCAGGCTTCTTCACCTGCGGGATCGTCTGAGGGGGAGGGTGGGGTGCTGAGGAGTATTTCTGTCTGTAATAATGCCCTTTTGTGCAGAAAAACTCATTCTGATTGGCTGGGCCTGGCTCCCAAGTTGGTGGGCCTATGCCCTCCCAGGGCCAACCCATGGCTGTGCCCCTGCCCAGTCAAATAGAATGTGCCCCTGCCCAGTAGGGCGGCAGGTAGCTTAGTGGTTAAGAGCGTTGTGCCAGTAACCGAAAGGTCGCTGGTTCTAATCCCCGAGCTGACTAGGTGAAAAATCTGTCGATGTGCACTTGAGCAAGGCACTTAACCCTAATTGCTCCTGTAAGTCGCTCTGGATAAGAGCGTCTGCTAAATGACCTATTTATTTATTTAAATGAAATCCATAGATTAGGGCCTAATGCATTAATTTCAACTGACTGTTTTTCTTATATGAACTGTAACTCAGTAGCATTTTTGAAATTATTGCATGTTGCGTTTATATTTTTGTTCAGTATAAATGTATTTAGCTTATTATTTGGGGTTTTAGGCTGGGTTTCTGTATAGCACTTTGTGACATCTGCTGATGTAAAAAGGGCTTTTATAAATACATTTGATTGATATTCTGGTGTGTGGTAGGAACAGTGAAAAGCGGTGTGTTTTACCACCATGTAACCCTCTAGAATCTGGACCCTCACCTTGTTTTGATGGGGTCGTCATAGATGATGCCTTTGGCCATTTCCTTCACCGACATGAGAGCTGAAAGAGAAACAAACTATTAGAGTTGGGCTGGAATAAAAGCCTGCACTCAGCCCGTGTTGTCCACCCCTGAAGTGAATCTGGACCAGAACAACAGCAGCCCATTGACAGTGATAGGGCCAGTATGTACAGCGACATATCTTACCTCTACAGGGTTAGGGCCAGTATGTACAGCAACATATCTTACCTCTGCAGGGTTAGGGCCAGTATGTACAGCAACATATCTTACCTCTGCAGGGTTAGGGCCAGTATGTACAGCAACATATCTTACCTCTACAGGGTTAAGGCCAGTATGTACAGCGACATATCTTACCTCTACAGGGTTAGGGCCAGTATGTACAGCGACATATCTACAGGGTTAGGGCCAGTATGTACAGCAACATATCTACAGGGTTAGGGCCAGTATGTACAGCAACATATCTTACCTCTTCAGGGTTAGGGCCAGTATGTACAGCAACATATCTACAGGGTTAGGGTCAGTATGTACAGTAACATATCTACAGGGTTAGGGCCAGTATGTACAGCAACATATCTTACCTCTTCAGGGTTAGGGCCAGTATGTACAGCAACATATCTACAGGGTTAGGGTCAGTATGTACAGTAACATATCTACAGGGTTAGGGCCAGTATGTACAGCAACATATCTTACCTCTTCAGGGTTAGGGCCAGTATGTACAGCAACATATCTACAGGGTTAGGGTCAGTATGTACAGTAACATATCTACAGGGTTAGGGCCAGTATGTACAGTAACATATCTACAGGGTTAGGGCCAGTATGTACAGCAACATATCTTACCTCTTCCCTCTGCCACACTCTGCAGAATCTTCTGCTCTTCTTTCAGCTGCTTCTCCTTGGCTGACTCTTTACGAGCTGTGGACAGAAAAATACTGATTTTAGCATTGAACAAAAGACAACTCAAGATCATTATACATTTTGGAATCCATAATTGGTTTGTCCTTCTGTTTTCTCTACTACCCATGGACAATCCCCCATAATTCACCACACTGAACAATGATCATTCCAATTCTAACTGTCAAATCATTCCAATTCTAACTGTCAAATCATTCCAATTCTAACTGTCAAATCTTTCCATTTCAAACTGCCACTGTATCACTTACCTTCAGCCTTTTCCTTGAGGACCTGGTGTTGGTCCAGCAGGGAGACGTTAGAGCGTGGTCCCAGCCCCTCGTCCTCATCTCTCTGCTCTCCTCCACTATCCTTCTGCTCCTCCTCTACCACCTTCCCTCGCAGACGCAGCATCTTCAGTTGCTGGGGGCACAGAGAGAGGGGGAGAGAGAGAGAGAGATAGAGAGGTTGGTTGCAAGGGAGGGAGAGATGGAGGGAGGTTGGTAGAGAGAGAGAGAGAGAGAGAGAGAGAGAGAGAGAGAGAGAGAGAGAGAGAGAGAGAGAGAGGCAGGGAGGAGAGTTATGGGTCATTGTGTTTGGTGGATCTACAGTACAACTCATTCTGAAGCTGTCAAAGGTAAACCATGTCTGTCAGCAGCAGGCTCAGACAGACAGACAGACACACAGTCTGACACTTACAGGGGATGAATAACAAACAGAGAGTGAGACTGTGTGTTTACCATTTCATGCTTCCTGATTTTGACAGGTACGTATGGAACATAGTCATCCTCCTCTGAGGGATGATCTGATCCAGACTTCTCCTCCTTCCCATAGGATCTCTGTGGAAAGAAATTGGTTAGAAAAGTACACAACAATTACAATAGGGACAGTGAAGTGGTTTATTCAGCTGCCTAACTAAACGATTTGCTAGTTAGCAAACAAAATACATAGCTACATCACAGTATGAAAAATGTATGCACTCACTAACTGTAAGTCGCTCTGGATAAGAGCGTCTACTAAATGACTAAAATGTAAAATGTAATCAATAGGGTAAGTTAGTTATAAATATATTTGACTACATAACATAGCTACTCTAACGTTACAACTAGCCCAATAATGGACTGAAGGAACCTAGCGTCTATTAATGTGTTAGTTACAACGGGAGCTATGCTAGCTAGCAAGCTAGATAGTGTGCTACCCATGCTAGCTAGCGTTACTTTCCATCAAATTGAACACCACTTACCTTTTTAAGCCGGTGTTCTGTCTCCATTTTATTGTGTTATGTTATGGGTTGCTACTGTAAGCCTGTTAAATGCTGTTTTGGACAACTTTATTGCCCCAAATCCATGAAAAAAAGACTCCCCCGCGTTTGCGCTGTGCGAAAACACTGAAAATGCAGTCGGTTTGTTTCTGTACGGCGAGCAGAGAATGACAAATCGAACCAGCGTGAAAAGGCGTTGTCGAAAATCTTCCCTTTGAGCAGTCTGGCCACCGAGGCGCAACAACGCCAGACTTCCGGGAACGCTTGAGAAGGCAATGAGAGAAATGAAAAATTAATTATTTTTGTTTCTCGAAATATAAAACAAAAATGTAATGGCTTATTTGCTACGTGAGGTTTATTTGATCGAATATAAGTTTCGTAATGCTTAAGTTGTTACGAGTGTACTAATAAAAATAGGACACGTATCATTCCGGCAACTTTGCGAGAAAAAAAAAACACTTAAATATCTCGAGATGGCTATGCATATTCATGTTCTGAGACTTGTAGCATAGCATCTCTATACATTGAATACAGGCGGTTGACGTCACAACCCTCATCGAATATTTAAAATAAGTTTACAATAAAGAGACGTATCCACCAATAGACTGCCCCTTTGTGGACAACGACTCCCATTGTTAGGGCGGAGAGACATGTATCTCGTCAGTATATCCATAAACGTTGGACCCCTGATGAAGGTCGTCATGACATCGCCTACAAGTGTGATCGGGGATTTCTATTGGAGAACAAGTTTTAACCTATATTCATACTGTACTGTCTTTGGTCTGGCCTTGCCTGACAACTGAAACTAAATTCTTCCGCTGCTCTATGTTCGCCAATGTCCATAGGCGTGGCGTAGCGAACGGCCGAAGAATGACAGAGAAAGCATCACCGAAGATTTGTTATAACTAACCTAAGATCCACCACAGCCTGTCGTTTCTAATGGCAGCAAATGAATCATAGTGGGCAGAACATGCAAGGAGGTTATAGCGTGTGTTTGCATATTTCCGTGTGTGCAACAACTAAATTCTCCCTTGCACTCCTTCTAAACAACGCACATTTTGTTGAAACTTTGGCAAAGGGTAAAGTCTACCAAACGTAGTCCACCGTGTTCGTAACATATTCTAGTTTTTGGGAACAGAAAACTGTATTGAGATCAAATGTTTCATCAATGAGCAGAATATCAGTCCAAGTCCAGTATTCTCCATCTTCTCTCACTGCCGGCCACTGGGCTTCCTCTCGTCACCATATTTTGGGGGAGAAGCCAACCGGATGCTTCAGATTTATACATCCGGAAAAACATCTGGCTCATTGTTCTATCTGTGGCATCCCTATATACAGTAGTTCCTATTATGGCGTCTGTGAGTAGGTACCAACTCCGCCATGTTTCGTTTGACAAAGGCCATGAGGAAAATGACTGGCGTTTTTGTAGGGTTTTTGGATAAACGCTGAAAATAAGAATTTTTGTAATAATAAAAAAACACAAAGGCTTCATTATTCATAAAGGTCATGTTAACTGATTGATATTATCTCATAGAACGAAAGTAAAAGATCTCCTAAGCCTGTGTTAACCTCAGACCTTATTTTCAGCGTTTATTCCAAACCCTATTCTTTCCCCATTAGTTTTTCCCCATAGGGTTGGCTGAACGAACCAGAGGTAACTTATTTCCGTGTTTTAGGACTACAAGCTGGCGAGCTCTATTGAGGCAATCTCCATTTTGAAGTAGTACATTTTCTTCTTCACGATTGGCTGATCCCTCCTGATGACCCGGTTGGAGTCATGTCCAACGGGGTTCATCAGGAGGGATCAACCAATAACGTTGGAAGTCCCACTCAGTTGACTACATTAAAAATGGTGGAAGCCCTCAAAAAACAGCCTTTTGGCCACAAGAGGCCTCTATCATTCTATATGGCTGGAGCTAGAAGTTTGGGTAGCCCATTGTTAATATACCCCAGTGGGTAGCCAGGCAACGTCTGGCCAAGCCTAGCTGATGCACGTCCACACAGCGAGCTGTCGGGAAGACTTCAAGAGCTGGTGTCAGCCAGACTAAGTCTGGCCCTCCTATGTCTGCCATCCTCTGCTAGTCTGGACTTTTAACACGATGACCTTGAAAGAAGACTTGAAGTGGTTGAAAATAACCTTTATCGATATTAGACGACTCTGAAACTGATTTGCATCATGTCATGAGACATTAGCTTTGGAGCAGAAACCACTCAGAAATAAAACGCCACACTTTATTCTGTCAAAACTGCAATGTTTTAATCTTTCTGAATGAAATATTTTCACAGTATCAAAAGTTAATAATAAAAAACCAAAACAGAAAAGAAGCCAACTTGGCTTAGGTCTACATGAATGGTATAGTATACATCTACATTCCACACATTAAGATAATGTCTTCTAGTTGAATATAACCTGGATACAACATTTCAGAACAGATAAAAAAATAAAAAATAAAAGAACATCTCACGGAAACCCTTTAAACATCGAAGCACCACTCCTTTCATTACATCACTTAAACTATCGATTGTTTTGTGATCAGAAAGGGAACTCATCTAAGTTCAGGACTGCAGAATCAGATATGGAGTGACAGCAGAGGTTATTTTTAAGGTGTATGACTCCAGAAGGTCAGAGTATTGTGAGTTTTGTACCATGGTTGAAATCCTCACCCATCCTCAGAGAGACAGGTCATCATTATGGTTGAAATCCTCAGAGACAGGTCATCATTATGGTTGAAATCCTCAGACATGCTATCATTATGGTTGAAATCCTCACCCATCCTCAGAGAGACAGGCCATCATTATGGTTGAAATCCTCACCCATCCTCAGAGAGACAGGTCATCATTATGGTTGAAATCCTCAGACAGGCCATCATTATGGTTGAAATCCTCACCCATCCTCAGAGACGGGTCATCATTATGGTTGAAATCCTCAGACAGGCTATCATTATGGTTGAAATCCTCACCCATCCTCAGAGAGACAGGCCATCATTATGGTTGAAATCCTCACCCATCCTCAGAGACAGGCCATCATTATGGTTGAAATCCTCAGACAGGCCATCATTATGGTTGAAATCCTCACCCATCCTCAGAGAGACAGGTCATCATTGCAGATGTTTTTAAAAGGCCCTAAAATCACTAATTTTATGTACCAACATTGAGATCAGGTGATGATTGAGGACATTTTTCGACTGAAAACAAAACCAGTTGGTTCTTATTGGACAAGTCCAAGGCGTCTCTTCCTGTTTTAGTCTGTTTTCTTCCGTTTGATACCTAATGAATACAATCCTGTATGAGCAGGAGTTAAGAGGTCAAAACAACAGTATGAGGCAGCCTTGGGCAACGTCCCTAATGGCACCCTATTCCCCAAGTAGTGCACTACATCGGGAATAAGGAGCCATTCTCTGGTCTAAAGTAGTGCACTACATCGGGAATAAGGAGCCATTCTCTGGTCTAAAGTAGTGCACTACATCGGGAATAAGGAGCCATTCTCTGGTCTAAAGTAGTGCACTACATCGGGAATAAGGAGCCATTCTCTGGTCTAAAGTAGTGCACTACATCGGGAATAAGGAGCCATTTGAGACGCAAACAATGTTGAGAACATGGCCACAGTACAGCTCTGATAGCAGGTACACCACCGACAACCAATGAGATATCAGCTCTGATAGCAGGTACACCACCGACAACCAATGAGATATCAGCTCTGATAGCAGGTACACCACCGACAACCAATGAGATATCAGCTCTGATAGCAGGTACACCACCGACAACCAATGAGAGATATCAGCTCTGATAGCAGGTACACCACAGACAACCAATGAGATATCAGCTCTGATAGCAGGTACACCACCGACAACCAATGAGATATCAGCTCTGATAGCAGGTACACCACCGACAACCAATGAGAGATATCAGCTCTGATAGCAGGTACACCACCGACAACCAATGAGATATCAGCTCTGATAGCAGGTACACCACCGACAACCAATGAGATATCAGCTCTGATAGCAGGTACACCACCGACAACCAATGAGATATCAGCTCTGATAGCAGGTACACCACCGACAACCAATGAGATATCAGCTCTGATAGCAGGTACACCACCGACAACCAATGAGAGATATCAGCTCTGATAGCAGGTACACCACCGACAACCAATGAGATATCAGCTCTGATAGCAGGTACACCACCGACAACCAATGAGATATCAGCTCTGATAGCAGGTACACCACCGACAACAAATGAGATATCAGCTCTGATAGCAGCTACACCACCGACAACCAATGAGATATCAGCTCTGATAGCAGGTACACCGACAACCAATGAGAGATATCAGCTCTGATAGCAGGTACACCACCGACAACCAATGAGATATCAGCTCTGATAGCAGGTACACCACCGACAACCAATGAGAGATATCAGCTCTGATAGCAGGTACACCACCGACAACCAATGAGAGATATCAGCTCTGATAGCAGGTACACCACCGACAACCAATGAGAGATATCAGCTCTGATAGCCGATACATCAACAACCAATTGGAGATACACTAAATGGCCAAAGGTATGTGGACACTCCAACTGGATTCGGTTATTTCAGGCACACCCGTTGCTGGCAGGTGTATACAATCGAGCACATAATTTAGCTCCATATACAAACATTGGCAGTAGAATGGCCCATACTTTAGAGCTCAGTGACTTTCAACGTGGCACCGTCATAGGATGCCACCTTTCCAACAAGTCAGTTCGTAAAATTTCTGCCCTGCTTAAGCTGCCCCGGTCAACTGTAAGTGCTGTTATTGTGAAGTGGAAACGTCTAGGAGCAACAACGGCTCAGCCGCGAAGTGGTAGGCCACACAAGGTCACAGAACGGGACCGCCGAGTGCTGAAGCGCGTAGCTCGTAAAAATCGTCTGTCCTCAGTTGCAACTCTCACTACCGAGTTCCAAACTACCTCTGGAAGCAACGTCAGCACAATAACTGTTAGTCGGGCGCTACATGAAATGGGTTTCCATGGCCGAGCAGCCGCACACAAGCCTAAGATCACCATGAGCAATGTCAAGCGTCGGCTGGAGTTGTGTAAAGCTCGCCACCATTGGACTCTGGAGCAGTGGAAACGTGTTCTCTGGAGTGATGAATCACGCTTCACCATCTGGCAGTCCGACGGACGAATCTGGGTTTGGCGGATGCCAGGAGAACGCTACCTGCCCCAATGCATAGGGCCAACTGTAAAGTTTGGTGGAGGAGAAATTATGGTTCGGGCTAGGCTCAGTAGTTCCAGTGAAGGGAAATCTTACATTCTAGACGATTCTGTGCTTTGTGGCAACAGTTTGGGGACGGCACTTTCCTGTTTCAGCATGACATTGCGAGCCAGGCCTAATCGCCCAACATCAGTGCCCGACCTCTAATGCTCTTGTGGCTGAATGGAAGCACAGCAATGTTCCAACATCTAGTGGAAAGCCTTCCCAGAAGAGTGGAGGCTGTTATAGCAGCAAAGGGGGGGGGACCAACTCCATATTAATACCCATGATTTTGGAATGAGATGTTGGACGAGCAGGTGTCCACATACTTTTGCTCATGTAGTGTATCTGCTCTGATAGCAGTTACATCACCAACAACCAATGGGAGACATCAACTCTGATAGCAGATACATAGATGGGAAATGTAACTTTGAAGCATAAAGAGAAATATGGAGCATGGCCCGATATCAGATATCTAAAAACATGGGGAAGCTGACCACTGAAGATCACCATGACTTTTATAGATTACACAGGGGAGAAATCAATCTGGTTTCATTTAAAACACAACTTGTAAAGATGTGATTCGAAGTGTTAAACACAGTAGTCAGATAAATATTTGTTTCTTTGTTGAAAAAAAAATCTAGTTTATATATTAGTGTCGTTGATTACTTTGCAAACGTTCATTTTGTTTAAAAAAAACAAAACCTTTTCTTGTCACAATTTCATACAAAATAATAGCATTGTACAACGGGGTATTGAATCTATTGATCCATGGGGTTTTATGCCGTTGATTCCTCCATAGTAAAGATAACCAGCCCCCACATGACGGTGGTCTTTGACAGTATAATGCGTTTTAACTGTTTTCTGTTGTTGTTTTTTTTAATGCCTGTGTCCTCCAAACCATAAGGTAGCTTAGTGGTAAAGAGCGTTGTGCCAGTAACCGAAAGGTCGCTGGTTTTAATCCCCGAGCCGACTCGGTGAAAAATCTGTCGATGTGCCCTTGAGCAACGTACTTAACCCTAATTGCTCCTGTAAGTCGCTCTGGATAAGAGTGTCTGCTAAATGACTAAACATGTAATAAACACCTATTCTGAGCCAATTCATCATCTAAAACAGTGCCTATCCATAATAATAATAATAATATGCCATTTAGCAGACGCTTTTATCCAAAGCGACTTACAGTCATGCGTGCATACATTTTTGTGTATGGGTGGTCCCGGGGATCGAACCCACTACCTTGGCGTTACAAGCGCCGTGCTCTACCAGCTGAGCTACAGAGGACCACGGAGGGTTGTGTGTGTTGAGGGAGAGCTGGGGGCAGATACCGTAAACTAAAGACACTAAAAGTTAGTCGTGGGATCATCGGTCAGTACCTTTGGAGAACAGAAGCACCAACCAATAACAATCCAAGAGGGTTTTCAACAATGTTAAAATGTGCCACAATTGCAATAAAAACACTTTTTATTGTATAAGGTAACTGTTTTGTGAAGTACACAGTAGATCAGATCTGATAGACAGAAGGGTGTTGGTTCTCCATGTTTCAACCTGGATCGCAGAGAGGAGTCTCAGTCGGCCCCGTGTGTGAATGATCCCTGGCTGTGAGCCAATAGCGTCGCAGTATTGCAGTCCTGACGAATGGAAAATGGTGTTGCACCAGGGTCCCTTGGCTTGGTGAGGAAAAATAGGAGACCTCAGGCCTTTGGACATAGTTATGTTGGGGGGGGGGGGGGGGGGCGGGGTTCTGCATTCTACAACCCGTCAGTTACTGGGCTGCGTTGGAAGGAACCTTTTTGAGGCTAAAATTGGACCAGTTTACTGCAACCTTCTGGCGGGTCTGTTTAGCAGAGTCAAGGCAAAACCTACAGAGAGGAGAGAGATGGAGGGAGAGAGAAATATCACTAAAAACAAGGGCCAGTTTCCCAGACAAAGACTAAGTCTAGTCTTAGATTAAGAATCACTTTTAAATGGAGAATCTTTGTCTGTTTGGTAAAGCGGCCCTAAATGTTTTGGATTGTCACAGAGGCTGAGCGTTACCTTTTGAAGTACTCCACCTCACGATCAATCTCATCCATTTCTTTTGGGTCTACGTCTTTAGGGAGAAACACATCGTCTGGGGAAGAAAGAAACGTGACAGAAACATCACAACCAAAGAACGCTAACGCTGACTGTCACTTTATCAGTCACACTGACGTCTCCCCTCCTACAACATGTATAACACAAGAGACAGGGAATTTTTACTAGGATTAAAAGTCAGGAATTGTGAAAAACTGAGTTTAAATGTATTTGGCTAAGGTGTATGTAAACTTCCGACTTCAACTGTACCTGACATGTCTCCCATCCTACAACATGTATAACACAAGAGACAGTCAACTAGAGGGTTATCTAAACTAACATACCTGACATGTCTCCCCTCCTACAACATGTATAACACAAGAGACAGTCAACTCGAGGGTTATCTAAACTAACGTACCTGACATGTCTCCCATCCTACAACATGTATAACACAAGAGACAGTCAACTAGAGGGTTATCTAAACTGACGTACAGTTGAAGTCGGAAGTTTACATACACCTTAGCCAAATACATTTAAACTCAGTTTTTCCACAATTCCTGACTTTTAATCCTAGTAAAAAGTCCCCGTCTTAGGTCAGTTAGGATCACCACTTTATTTTAAGAATGTGAAATGTCAGAATAATAGTAGAGAGAATGATTTATTTCAGCTTTTATTTCTTTCATCACATTCCCAGTGGGTCAGAATACTCAATCAGTATTTGGTAGCATTGCCTTTAAATTGTTTAACGTGGGTCAAACGTTTTGGGTAGCCTTCCACAATAAGTTGGGTGAATTTTGGCCCATTCCTCCTGACAGAGCTGGTGTAACTGAGTCAGGTTTGTAGGCCTCCTTGCTCGCACACACTTTTTCAGTTCTGCCCACACATTTTCTATAGGATTGAGGTCAGGGCTTTGTGATGGCCACTCCAATACCTTGACTTTGTTGTCCTTAAGCCATTTTGCCACAACTTTGGAAGTATGCTTGGGCTCATTGTCCATTTGGAAGACCGATTTGCGACCAAGCATTAACTTCCTGATTGATGTCTTGAGATTTGCTTCAATATATCCACATAATTTTCCTTCCTCATGATGCCATCTAGAAGTGCACCAGTCCCTCCTGCAGCAAAGCACCCCCACAGCATGATGCTGCCACCCCCGTGCTTCACGGTTGGGATGGTGTTCTTCGTCTTGCAAGCGCCCCCCTTTTTCCTCCAAACATAACGATGGTCATTATGGCCAAACAGTTCTATTTTTGTTTCATCAGACCAGAGGACATTTCTCCAAAAAGTACCATCTTTGTCCCCATGTGCCGTTGCAAACCGTAGTCTGGCTTTTTTATGGCGGTTTTGGAGCAGTGGCTTCTTCCTTGCTGAGCGGCCTTTCAGGTTATGTCGATATAAGACTCGTTTTACTGTGGATATAGATACTTTTGTACCCGTTTCCTCCAGCATCTTCACAAGGTCCTTTGCTGTTGTTCTGGGATTGATTTGCACTTTTCGCACCAAAGTACGTTCATCTCTAGGAGACAGAACGCATCTCCTTCCTGAGCAGAATGACGGCTGCGTGGTCCCATGGTGTTTATACTTGAGTACTATTGTTTGTAGAGATGAACGTGGTACCTTCAGGCGTTTGGAAATTGCTCCCAAGGATGAACCAGACTTGTGGAGGTGTCTACAATTGTTTTTCTGAGGTCTTGGCTGATTTCTTTTGATTTTCCCATGATGTCAAGCAAAGAGGCACTGAGTTTGAAGGTAGGCCTTGAAATACATCCACAGGTACACCTCCAATTGACTCAAATGATGTCAATTAGCCTATCAGAAGCTTCTAAAGCCATGACATCATTTTCTGGAATTTTCCAAGCTGTTTAAAGGCACAGTCAACTTATTGTATGTAAACTTCTGACCCACTGGAATTGTGATACAGTGAATTATAAGTGAAATAATCTGTCTGTAAACAATAGTTGGAAAAATGACTTGTGTCATGCACAAAGTAGATGTCCTAACCGACTTGCCAAAACTATAGTTTGTTAACAAGACATTTGTGGAGTGGTTGAAAAATGAGTTTTAAATTACTCCAACCTAAGTGTATGTAAACTTCCGACTTCAACTGTACCTGACAAGTCTCCCCTCCTACAACATGTATAACACAAGAGACAGTCAACTAGAGGGTTATCTAAACTAACGTACCTGACATGTCTCCCATCCTACAACATGTATAACACAAGAAACAGTCAACGAGGGTTATCTAAACTAACGTACCGATGTTGCGGCTGGTTTTCTCCCCCTTGTTCTTGTTCTTCTTAGTCTTCCCCTTGGGTTGCTGCTGCTGGGCTTGGTTGTGATTGGCTGAGGTGACAGAGTGACCTTTGGCCTCTTGCTCCTCCCCCTTCCCTCTTTGGGCGCTGGGAGCACCCCCGCTACTCACTGTCCCGTTGGTGGCCTGCTGCCGGGTGGGCCTGGTCTCCTCTGCCCTCCTTGGCCCGGTTCTCTGGCTCTCAGCTGAGTGAGGTGGTGGTTTGGAACCAGAACCAGCCTTAGAACCGTTAGAGCCCACAGCATCAGAACTGTTGGAACCAGTTTTCTGAGACTCTGCAGCTGCTTTGGATCCGGGTCTGGTCTGGTTCTGTTCTGGAGGTAGCTGGTCCTGCCGTTGCTGCTGCTGCTTCTTGCCTTTCTTCAGCTTGCCAGCCCCAGCATTAACCCCAGCCCCAGGAGTAGAAGTGTTCTTGCCAGCCCCAGCATTAACCCCAGCCCCAGGAGTAGAAGTGTTCTTGCCAGCCCCAGCATTAACCCCAGCCCCAGGAGTAGAAGTGTTCTTGCCAGCCCCAGCATTAACCCCAGCCCCAGGAGTAGAAGTGTTCTTGCCAGCCCCAGCATTAACCCCAGCCCCAGGAGTAGGGGTATTAATGTTCTTGCCAGCCCCAGCATTAGCCCCAGGAGTAATGTTGTTGGGCTCCGCTGGGGCCTCCTCTTTAGGCTTAGCCGCCGTGGTGGAGGCCTGGGTCTGGGTCGAAGCAGGGGCCTGGTGTTTATTCTCAGGCCTAGCAGAGCGGCACCTCTCTGGGGTGCGCACCCGGATCAGCTTGGAGAGGCTGGGGGTGGTGTGGAGCCTCTGAACATCCTTCACCCCAGTACCAGCCGCAGCCCCTGGTCCCCCTACCCCAGGTACAGTATCACTAGCCAGGGGTGAGATGGGTCCGATGGGGGAGTGGTCCCGGGGATGGGCCTCCTCCCAGCCTTTGACCAGGTCCAGATGACTCTTGAAGGTACCCAGGGAGAGAGGGGCCAGGTCTAGGTCTATCTGCTGCAGGTCAGAGCAGGAGGAGCCGTTGAGGTGGGAGAGAAGATGGTTGCCCTCCAGAGTAGCAGCCTTCTTAGGGAAGTCATTCACATCCAGGTTGAGGTCGTACATGGAGAACGAGGCCCGGATAGAGTCCTGCAAGGTCAAAGGTCAACGTTTTTATTTTAGAAAAAAGAGGAAACACTGATATTAACAGATTTAGGACCGGTTTCATGGACAGATTAAGCCGAGTCCTGGACTACATTTTGTTCGATGGAGATGCTCCATTGAGCTAGATTTCTTTGTCCAGGACTATGCTTAATTTATGTCAGCGAAACCACCCCTAAAAGACTACCTCCAGATTATATTCACTAGACAATGTGCAACTAATAATATGTAAAATCAAATAAACACAAATAGATAGACAAACAACATCAATACAATAGGCCCTGCCATAGACTGGTGCCCTGTCCAGGGGGTGTCCTGCTGTCTCACTACAGAAACAGGAGATAGGCTAGTGTCCTGTCCAGGGGGTGTCCTGTACATCCAGCTGTCTCACTACAGAAACAGGAGATAGACTAGTGTCCTGTCCAGGGGGTGTCCTGTACATCAAGCTGCCTCACTACAGAAACAGGAGATAGACTAGTGTCCTGTCCAGGGGGTGTCAAGCTGCCTCAATACAAAAACAAATCAAATCAAACTTTATTCGTCACATGCGCCGAATACAACAGGTGTAGACCTTACAGTGAAATAGGGTGGCAGGTAGCTTAGTGGTTAAGAGCATTGTGCCAGTAACCGAAAGGTCGCTGGTTCTAATCCCCGAGCCGACTAGGTGAAAAATCTGTCGATGTGCCCTTGAGCAAGGCACTTAACCCTAATTGCTCCTGTAAGTCGCTCTGGATAAGAGCGTCTACTAAATGACTAAAATGTAAATGTAAAATGCTTACTTTCAAGCCCTTAACCAACAATGCAAATAGTCTGGGTAGCCATGATTAGCTGTTCAGGAGTCTTATGGACCTAGACTTGGCGCTCCGGTACCGCTTGCCGTGCGGTAGCAGAGAGAACAGTCTATGACCAGGGTGGCTGGAGTCTTTGACAATTTTATGGCCTTTCCTCTGACAGGATGAACAGGAGATAGACTAGTGTCCTGTCCAGGGGGTGTCAAGCTCCTCACTACAGAAACAGGAGATAGACTAGTGTCCTGTCCAGGGGGTGTCAAGCTCCTCACTACAGAAACAGGAGATAGACTAGTGTCCTGTCCAGGGGGTGTCAAGCTCCTCACTACAGAAACAGGAGATAGACTAGTGTCCTGTCCAGGGGGTGTCAAGCTCCTCACTACAGAAACAGGAGATAGACTAGTGTCCTGTCCAGGGGGTGTCAAGCTCCTCACTACAGAAACAGGAGATAGACTAGTGTCCTGTCCAGGGGGTGTCCTGTCCAGGGGGTGTCAAGCTCCTCACTACAGAAACAGGAGATAGACTAGTGTCCTGTCCAGGGGGTGTACTGTACATCAAGCTGTCTCACTACAGAAACAGGCGATAGACTAGTGTCCTGTCCAGGGGGTGTCCTGTACATCAAGCTGCCTCACTACAGAAACAGGAGATAGACTAGTGTCCTGTCCAGGGGGTGTCAAGCTCCTCACTACAGAAACAGGCGATAGACTAGTGTCCTGTCCAGGGGGTGTCAAGCTCCTCACTACAGAAACAGGAGATAGACTAGTGTCCTGTCCAGGGGGTGTACTGGTACATCAAGCTGCCTCACTACAGAAACAGGAGATAGACTAGTGTCCTGTCCAGGGGGTGTTCTGGTACATCAAGCTGTCTCACTACAGAAACAGGAGATAGACTAGTGTCCTGTCCAGGGGGTGTCAAGCTCCTCACTACAGAAACAGGAGATAGACTAGTGTCCTGTCCAGGGGGTGTCCTGTACATCAAGCTCCTCACTACAGAAACAGGAGATAGACTAGTGTCCTGTCCAGGGGGTGTCCTGTACATCAAGCTCCTCACTACAGAAACAGGAGATAGACTAGTGTCCTGTCCAGGGGGTGTCAAGCTCCTCACTACAGAAACAGGAGATACCATTTCAGGCTCAGACAAGACTACTTACTTTACTTAATACAATACAACAAGAGACAACCATTAGGCAATAACTACATGTTATCAGTGGGCCAATTAAAATCGGTTTTATTTTTTGCCTAATTCCCTTTTCTCCGTTTAGTTTTTCCAGGTTCAGATTTTTCCCTGTTCAGGTTTTAGTCCCTCAAAATCACACTTATTTTTTATAGAAAAACAACCAAATTGGATGTTCTAAATCCACAACAATGCGTAAACAACATCAGAAGACCACTTTTGAGGTCTGGGAGAAATCTACTACATTTGTATTTTGTGGTGATTGCAGAGTTAGCTAAACAAATCACCACTGGATTGATTCAAATAATCATGATGTCATTCTGCCAGGTTGGCATAGACTACTGGGTAGTTAACATTCTGCCAGGTTGGCATAGACTACTTTGTAGTTAACATTTAATTGAGAAGGTTTTTGGGAAAGCCTTTCCATCTACCAGAAGATGGTTGTAATTAGCATCATTGCTAACGGCTACACAAAGTGGTAGAGAAACAGACAGACGGACATTCCTGTGTTGCCTCTTCGGAAAGCTGAAGGCCAATACGCATCACTGATGAATTTTGTCCATGTCTTATCATAATCTTGGACGCCAAGGTAGTGGGTTCGATCCCCGGGACCACCCATACACAAAAAAATGTATGCACGCATGACTGTAAGTCGCTTTGGATAAAAGCGTCTGCTAAATGGCTTATTATTATTATTATTATTAATACATTTTCTAACAAGTTCAATACATTTATACTGAACAAAAATATAAAACGCAACATGCAACAATTTAAAAAGATTTTACTGAGTTACAGTTCATATAATGAAATCAGTCAGTTGAAATGAATGCATTAGGCCCTAATCTATGGATTTCATTTGACTGGGCAGGGGCACAGCCATGGGTAGGCCTGGGAGGGCAAAGGCCCACCCACTGGGGAGCCAGGCCCAGCCAATCAGAATGAGTTTTTCTGCACAAAAGGGCATTATTACAGACAGAAATACTCCTCAGCACCCCACCCTCCCCCTCAGACGATCCCGCAGGTGAAGAAGCCTGATGTGGAGGTCCTGGGCTGGCGTGGTTACACATGGCCTGAGGTTGTGAGGCCGGTTGGACGTACTGCCAAATTCTCTAAAACGATGTTGGAGGTGGCTTATAGTAGAGAAATTAACATTAAATTCTCTGGAAACAGCTACGGTGGACATTCCTGCAGTCAGCATGCTAATTGCACGCTCCCTCAAAACTTGAGACATCTGTGGCATTGTGTTGTGTGACAAAACTGCACATTTTAGAGTGGCTTTTTATTGTCTCCAGCACAAGGTGCACCTGTGTAATGATCATGTTTAATCAGCTTCTTGATATGTCTCACCTGTCAGGTGGATGGATTATCTTGACAAAGGAGAAATGCTCACTAACAGGGAGGTAAACACATTTGTTCACAAAGTTTGAGAGAAATAAGCTTTTTGTGCATATGGAATTTCTGAGATATTTTATTTCAGCTCATGAAACATGGGACCAACACTTCACATGTTGCGGTTTATATTTTTGACCAGTATAGTTGATTTCCTACAAAATTCGATCCCCAATTGTATATTGTTGAATTCCGTCCAACTTCTCCGCATCGCGGATTTTATAGTGCCCTATATATGGACAGTGATCATTTGAGTCCCAGATGGCACCCTATTCCCTATATAGTGCACTACTTTTGCCCATGGGCGCTGGTTAAAAGTAATAATAATATAATAATAATATAATAATAATAATAATTGGTCATTTAGCAGACGCTCTTATCCAGAGCGACTTACAAGAGCAATTAGGGTTAAGTGCCTTGCTCAAGGGCACATCGACAGATGTTTCACCTAGTCGGCTCGGGGATTAGAACCAGCGACCTTTCGGTTACTGGCACAACGCTCTTAACCACTAAGCTACCTGCCGCCCTAGTAGTGCACTATTTAGGGAATAGGGTGTCATTTGGGACGCATCTATCCTTACCTTGATGGTGTTTTTGATCTCCTCTAGCCGAGAGGTCAGGAAGGAGTTGACCCTCTCTAGTTCCAGCTGAGGCCACTCCAACAGCCGACTAGCCTCTGGGTCCTCATCCTCCTCCCCGTCCACATCCCCCTCCTCCTGGCTGGGGAGGTCTGGGTCCTCACCCTCCTCCCCGTCCACATCCCCCTCCTCCTGGCTGGGGAGGTCTGGGTCCTCACCCTCCTCCCCGTCCACATCCCCCTCCTCCTGGCTGGGGTGGTCTGGGTCTGGAGAGGTGGAGGGGGGGTCGCTGCCAGCTTCCTCACCATCACCACTACCCGCCTGGGTCTGCTTCTCCTGAGGTGGGGAGAGACAGACAGATGGTTAGACAGAGACAGATGGTTAGACAGCCAGCCAGATGGTTAGACAGAGACAGATGGTTAGACAGCCAGCCAGATGGTTAGACAGACAGATGGTTAGACAGCCAGCCAGCCAGATGGTTAGACAGACAGCCAGCCAGATGGTTAGACAGCCAGATGGTTAGACAGACAGACAGATGGTTAGACAGCCAGCCAGCCAGATGGTTAGACAGACAGCCAGCCAGATGGTTAGACAGACAGCCAGCCAGATGGTTAGACAGACAGCCAGCCAGATGGTTAGACAGACAGACAGATGGTTAGACAGACAGCCAGCCAGATGGTTAGACAGACAGCCAGCCAGATGGTTAGACAGACAGCCAGCCAGATGGTTAGACAGACAGCCAGCCAGATGGTTAGACAGACAGCCAGCCAGATGGTTAGACAGACAGACGGTTAGACAGACAGCCAGCCAGATGGTTAGACAGAGATGGTTAGACAGACAGCCAGCCAGATGGTTAGACAGACAGCCAGCCAGATGGTTAGATAGACAGCCAGCCAGATGGTTAGACAGACAGCCAGCCAGATGGTTAGACAGACAGCCAGCCAGATGGTTAGACAGACAGCCAGCCAGATGGTTAGATAGACAGCCAGCCAGATGGTTAGACAGACAGACGAGTACCGACAGATAATACTTCTAATTACAACTATGGAAATGTGGTTACTTTCCATTGTTAATTCATTATTAGCATATAGAACACAGAGCATCCTGTCCAGGGGGTGTCCTGCTGTCTCACTACAGAAACAGGAGATAGACTAGTGTCCTGTCCAGGGGGTGTCCTGTACATCCAGCTGTCTCACTACAGAAACAGGAGATAGACTAGTGTCCTGTCCAGGGGGTGTCCTGTACATCAAGCTGTCTCACTACAGAAACAGGAGATAGACTAGTGTCCTGTCCAGGGGGTGTACTGTACATCCAGCTGTCTCACTACAGAAACAGGAGATAGACTAGTGTCCTGTCCAGGGGGTGTACTGTACATCAAGCTGTCTCACTACAGAAACAGGAGATAGACTAGTGTCCTGTCCAGGGGGTGTACTGTACATCCAGCTGTCTCACTACAGAAACAGGAGATAGACTAGTGTCCTGTCCAGGGGGTGTACTGTACATCCAGCTGTCTGTATTGCAGTATTCCCACCAGGTCATTTGACATCACCTTCTTCTTCTGTTTATGTCGCGCCCGCTTGGCAGCCTTAGCACTGTTGGTCGGTTTGTGCTCTGAGGAGTTGATGAAGTCCAGCAGCTCGTCCACATCTCGGTGGTCGATGGAGGTGGACACGGCCGGGTCAGAGTCCCGTCTCTGGGGAAGACACTCCTCCTTACGACGCGTCAGACGGGACCGGAGCTTCTCACGGATCTCTGTGTAGTTGCGGCTGGTCGGAGCCGCCGGGGGCTGGAGGGAAGAGAGGACATGATCAGAGGAGAGATTTTCATTTCAATAACTTGCTCCCTTCCTTTGCCATTGTTCACTCCCCTTCAGACATCTGAGAAGGCTGGACAGGAGGCAGAAACTAGTTGGGAGTTTACGCATATCCAGCCATCTCAGATTTAGGGGAAGGACGGCAGAATGGAGGGAGCGTCTTTGTGGATTGAAACCCAGACACAATCTGATTTCTCTTTTTGTTGTTGTATGTTCATTGACTAGAGAGAGACCAAGATGAAAGGTAGGAGAGAGAGAGTGCTGAAAGAGCAGTGGGTGGGATTCCAACCCATGCTGGCAGCGGTACATCTTACATGTGCTCCAGAGGCGGCGGCTTGGACCGCTAGACCACTCCCAGGTCACCGGATTTCACATTTAACAACCAATGGGGTTTACATTCGGCCCCAACATGAACGCAATGTGGCCAAGTGAAAAGTGCTCCATAAATGCTATTACAATTACAAGCCATTACTAAGTGTGTCAAAGAGATGTACTGCGTTGTGTCAGAAGAATTCACAGTAGTCAAAAATTACTTTTGTCACTCAACGTTTATATTGTTCATGCTTTTAATGCTATTTCAATAAATGATTAATTGTACCATCCTATACATTAGGGCTGAGAATTGCCAGGGACCTCACGATATCACGATTCTATATGTATTGCAATTCGATACTGCGATTTTATTGCGATTCGATGTTCCAAACATATTGCTCACCATATGTGAAGTGGCCTACGAGAACCCGTCGGGATGTCGCACCGACTAATTGTTGGGAAAATTGCCAAAATGTAACGAAAATCTGTTTTTGTGGAAATTGCGATTTTGGTTGTTTTGGATACTTTAAAACCTTTACTTTATTGCAATGTGAAAATATTTGTATGATTACTTAAGGAAAATAGTTCATTTAGAAGATTTTTTTTACATTAGCTAGTATTGGGGATTTATTATTCTCCTAAACTGATGGGATGACTAATTTAGAAAGAATGCAGTCTTGACTGGGCTAATGTAGGCTGTGACACCTGGCAGGCTGTGATTGATGTGAAGAGAAGATAAGGATTGTGTCTTCAAATGCTAGACTATAATAGTTCATTGTGATTTATGAGTCTTCCTTTGACATGGGAATGATGTCTAAGGGAGCTGGCTCTTCTCACTATGATAGGTTGTTATGATAATCTTGTGCCTGCCTGAAGTGTGTAACAAATGGCGCCGAAGAGATGAGACCAACCCCCTGCATCAACGGATTGGCTGAGAAAGTTTAAACCACTCAAGTCTTTACTCTAATTGGCCAGCAGAGAAGTGGGAAACTTCCTCTGTCAGAGTATTTGGGTATTGTTTTCTGGAACAATGAGTTAGTTCTCTGGAGTGTCCTGCGAGGCATCACAGAGAGCCCGTATATACGAAACATCATATTTACCATTAAAGGTTTTTGCATTAATTAAAATAACTAGTATACCTTAGAAGTCGTGTTGACCTCTTTTGTTCCTAATACCAGATTTGAATTGACGCGACTTTGACACTAGCATGCCCAATGTGAAAAGTTAACAGTATGCTCTGGATTACCGCTAATCAAGGACTATTTTACGATCGTCTGTCACCTCATCATGGATGGAGAGATGAGAGCATCTTCACCGAGGAACAAGCAAGGTTCGTTACGCAAGTCAGCTAGCTAGTGAAGTACACCACGTCATATACATGCTCATATACATCTGTGGGGCTGCTTCTCCTGGTCCAACTAAACAAACATGGAAACGTCGCGTCGCAGAACATCATGGAAACACGGACTATGCTATTGCGCACCACTGTAGATGCCAACCATGGCTCACCTTTCTCCCTGCGCTTTGCAACCATAGAAGATGTCCACGTTTCACCAAGAGGAGGGGACATTGTACGTTAACTAAAAAAAGAGGCATTCTAGCTCTGCTTTTTTGTTGTTGTTGAGCGCTCCAACTCATTTCTACCTCAAATTAGCCCTTTGGAAGTTGTTCTTGTTAAGCCCGTCACACAATGCATTAGTTAAACTTGATCAACTAAAAATTCAAGCCTTCACAACCTGCCTGTCCTTTGTATTGTTCAAGGTAGGCTAGAGCCAATGTTACTGGAATGACAGTACTATTGAAGAGAAGTTTAAAAAGACAAGCTGCTATAGCTAACATTAACCAGCCAGCTATTCTTCATCCCCGTATGCCACAAAACTAAATGAGCAAGTGAATGTTAATTAATTGAGGGAGAGACAGATATGAAGAACAACCCTTCTTTGTGTGTGTGTGTGTTTGAAAAACATTTAGGTCTCCATGACAACTGACTTTATTTGTAGACCCAAATAAATAAGACCGATAAAGTGCTGAAACATGCGTTTCTCCCCTGAGGGATAGATGGTGAAGGGAATGGGCAGGCTTGTGGATCTGGTTTCCAGAGCTGGATCCAAGGTGGTCGTCACCATGGGGCACTCAGCTAAGGTAAGAGGTGATGACCTAATAGTTTGTGTGTGTGTTAGTGATTTCTGTGTTAGTTTGTCAGAGTGTGTCAAATTAATTCATATCAATATGAATTAAATCCTTCTTTCCCCATTGCCAGCTGAGCCTTCAACAACACCAGGTCGCGGACAACACACCATACTACCAAGTGACTATTTGCTTTTGCACAAATAGTACTGTACTATTTTAGATGTCTCTCTCTAGTTATTTATGTTTCGTGGTATTGTGTTGTAGTGTTGCATGACCAACTCATCTCTCATGCCATCCAGTGTTGTATTTAGCTAAATCAAAACAGATCCTTCTTTAATGTTTTTCATTTTTAAGGATTTGTTGTTGACGGTTCATAAATCGCACTGAAATGTATTATTTTCGCTCCAATTCAAATACAGTGCATTCAGAAAGTATTCAGACCCCTTGACTTTTTCCACTTTGTCACTTTACAGCCTTATTCTAAAATGGTTTAAATTGTTTTTCCCCCCCGACCAATTTACACACAATTACCCATAATGACAAAGCGTTTGTAGAAATGTTAGCAAATTAAATATACATTTTTAAAAACTGAAATATCACATTTACATAAATATTCAGACCCTTTACTCAGTACTTTGTTGAAGCACCTTTGGCAGCGATTACAGCCTCAAGTCTTCTTGGGTATGACGCTACAAGCTTGGCACACCTGTATTTGGGGAGTTTCTCCCATTCTTTGCAGATCCTCTTAAGCTCCGTCAGGTTGGATGGGGAGCATCGCTGCACAGCTATTTTCAGGTCTCTCCAGAGATGTTCGATCGGGTTCAAGTCCGGGCTCTGGCTGGGCCACTCAAGGACATTCAGAGACTTGTCCTGAAGCCACTTCTGCGTTGTCTTGGCTGTGTGCTTCGGGTTGTTGTCCTATTGTAAGGTGAACCTTCGCTCCAGTCTGAGGTCCTGAGCGCTCTGGAGCAGGTTTTCATCAAGGATCTCTCTGTACTTTGCTCCGTTCAGTCTCCCAGTCCCTGCCGCTGAAAAACATCCCCACAGCATGATGCTGCCACCACCATGCTTCACCGTAGGGATGGTGCCAGGATTCCTCCAGACGTGACGCTTGGCATTCAGGCCACAGAGTTCAATCTTAGTTTCATCAGACCACAGAATCTTGTTTCTCATGGTCTGAGAGTCCTTTAGGTGCCTTTTGGCAAACTCCAAGGGGACTGTTATGCGCCTTTTACTGAAGAGTGGCTTCCGTCTGGCCACAATAAAGGCCTGATTGGTGGAGTGCTGCAGAGATAGTTGTCCTTCTGGAAGGTTCTCCCATCTCCACAGAGGAACTCTAGAGCTCTGTCAGAGTGACCATCGGGTTCTTGGTCACCTCCCTGCCAAAGGCCCTTCTCCCCCAATTGCTCAGTTTGGCCGGGCGGCCAGCTCTAGGAAGTGGTTCCAAACTTCTCTCATTTAAGAATTATGGAGGCCACTGTGTTATTGGGGACCTTCAATGCTGCAGACATTTTTTGGTACCCTTCCCCAGATCTGTGCTTTGACACAATCCTGACTTGAACCTGTAAGGACAATTCCTTCGACCTCATGGCTTGGTTTTTGCTCTGACATGCACTGTCAACTGTGGGATCTTATATAGACAGCTGTGTGCATTTACAAATCATGTCCAATCAATTGAATTTACCACAGGTGGACTCCAATCAAGTTGTAGAAACATCTCAAGGATGATCAACGGAAACAGGATGCACCGGAGCTCAATTTCAAGTCTCATAGCAAAGGGTCTGAATACTTATGTAAATAAGATATTTTTATTATCATTTATTTTATACGTCTGCAAAAATTTCTAAAAACCTGTTTTCACTTTGTCCTTATGGGGGTATTGTGTGTAGATTGATGAGGGAAAAACTATTTAATCCATTTTATAATAAGGCTGTAACGAAACAAAATGTGGAAAAAGTCAAGGTGTCTGAAAACTTTCCGATAATGTATCTATTATTGTACAGTATAATAATTTGTTCTAGTAATTATTATTTAATGCAAACAATACCAGCAGTTGCGAAATAACAAGAGAGCCATGATAAAGCAAGTTTTGATCAGTCATGGAAATAAGTGTTGAAAACAAATTGGCTCAATATTTAAAAGATGAAGAACAAGTTATGAAAAATACTGGAGTTTTGGTGTAGATACAGACTAGCGCCGATATGTAACTGTATAATATCCGATATGTAACTGTATCTATTCCCCCCCTCCTGTACATACCGCCCCCCCTCCTGTACATACCGCCCCCCCCCCCCCCTCCTGTACATCCCCCCCCCCCTCCCCTCCCCTCCTGTACATACCGCCCCCCCCCCTCCCCTCCTGTACATACCCCCCTCCTGTACATACCACGTCCCCCCCCCTGTACATACCCCCCCCCCCCCCCTGTACATACCGCGTCCCCCCCCCCCTGTACATACCGCCCCCCCCCCCTCCTGTACATACCGCCCCCCCCCCTCCTGTACATACCGCCCCCCCCCCCCCCCCTCCTGTACATACCCATTACATTTACATTTTTACATTTTTAGTCATTTAGCAGACGCTCTTATCCAGAGCGACTTACAGGAGCAATTAGGGTTAAGTGCCTTGCTCAAGGGCACATCGACAGATTGTTCACCTAGTCGGCTCGGGGATTAGAACCAGCGACCTTTCGGTTACTGGCACAACGCTCTTAACCACTAAGCTACCTGCCTACCCCCCCCCCCCCCCCCCCCTTGTACATACCCCCCCCCCCCCCCTGTACATACCGCCCCCCCCCCCCCCCCCTTGTACATACCGCCCCCCCCCCCTCCTGTACATACCGCGTCCCCCCCCCCCCCTCCTGTACATACCGCCCCCCCCCCCCCTCCTGTACATACCGCGTCCCCCCCCCCCCTCCTATACATACCGCGTTGTGTCCGAAGAACTCACAGTAGCAGCAGTCACAGTACTTCCCATCCTTCTGGTTGTTTGATGAGGAAGCACAGGAGCTCCTCTCAGAACTAGAGTCCTCATCCTCTCCCTCGTCCAGCTCCGACGGGGGGTGACACAACCCCCCCGCCCCGTTAGACAGCTTGTGTCCTTTACACGCCTGGTCCCTGTAGCATGGAGACAGGATGGGGAGAACAGGTAGCACAGACAGATGGACAGACAGGATGGGGACAACAGGTAGCACAGACAGATGAACAGACAGTGGACACAGGATGGGGACAACAGGTAGCACAGACAGATGGACAGACAGTGGACACAGGATGGGGACAACAGGTAGCACAGACAGATGGACAGACAGTGACAGAGAGAAACCATGTGATGACAGACAGAACCACGATCATGTCCTATCACTACTTGATTTCATCTGAAAGTATGTCTGTGTTCCAGTATCTCATGCAAATTTGAGTCCTGGCACGTTAGCGTGAAATGCGGCTGAAATCTACAACTGAATTAAAACAATGTCACTGCATTTGGCATACTCCCAAAAAAATAAACAGTAAGTGCTTATCAATTTAACCTGCTAAATAGTTTGGACATTTGGAGTACTTGTATTCGATTATTAGCAATCAAATACAAACCTTGACTTGAGTACTTGCGCCATCCCTACTAGATTCTATAATAAAACTCTCGTTTACTGCACATTCCATGAAACCATCAAACTATCTACTGAACACTACTGTAGAAACATCAAACTATCTACGGAACACTACTGTAGAAACATCAAACTATCTACGGAACACTACTGTAGAAACATCAAACTATCTACGGAACACTACTGTAGAACCATCAAACTATCTACGGAACACTACTGTAGAAACATCAAACTATCTACTGAACACTACTGTAGAAACATCAAACTATCTACCACTACTGTAGAAACATCAAACTATCTACGGAACACTACTGTAGAAACATCAAACTATCTACGGAACACTACTGTAGAAACATCAAACTATCAATGGAACACTACTGTAGAAACATCAAACTATCTACGGAACACTACTGTAGAAACATCAAACTATCTACGGAACACTACTGTAGAAACATCAAACTATCTACGGAGCACTACTGTAGAAACATCAAACTATCAATGGAACACTACTGTAGAAACATCAAACTAGACCTGTCTCATCACTAGATAGACCCGTCTCATCACTAGATAGACCCGTCTCATCACTAGACAGACCCGTCTCATCACTAGACAGACCCGTCTCATCACTAGACAGACCCGTCTCATCACTAGACAGACCCGTCTCATCACTAGATAGACCCGTCTCATCACTAGATAGACCCGTCTCATCACTAGATAGACCCGTCTCATCACTAGATAGACCCGTCTCATCACTAGACACCCGTCTCATCACTAGACAGACCCGTCTCATCACTAGACAGACCCGTCTCATCACTAGACAGACCCGTCTCATCACTAGACAGACCCGTCTCATCACTAGACAGACCCGTCTCATCACTAGACAGACCCGTCTCATCACTAGACAGACCAGTCTCATCACTAGACAGACCCGTCTCATCACTAGACAGACCCGTCTCATCACTAGACAGACCCGTCTCATCACTAGACAGACCCGTCTCATCACTAGACAGACCCGTCTCATCACTAGACAGACCCGTCTCATCACTAGATAGACCCGTCTCATCACTAGACAGACCCGTCTCATCACTAGACAGACCCGTCTCATCACTAGACGACCCGTCTCATCACTAGATAGACCCGTCTCATCACTAGATAGACCCGTCTCATCACTAGATAGACCCGTCTCATCACTAGATAGACCCGTCTCATCACTAGATAGACCCGTCTCATCACAGATATACCGTCTCATCACTAGACAGACCCGTCTCATCACTAGACAGACCCGTCTCATCACTAGACAGACCCGTCTCATCACTAGACAGACCCGTCTCATCACTAGACAGACCCGTCTCATCACTAGACAGACCCGTCTCATCACTAGACAGACCCGTCTCATCACTAGACAGACCCGTCTCATCACTAGACAGACCCGTCTCATCACTAGACAGACCCGTCTCATCACTAGACAGACCCGTCTCATCATCACTAGACAGACCCGTCATCATAACGACCTTCATCACTAGACAGACCCGTCTCATCACTAGACTAGACCCGTCTCATCACTAGACAGACCCGTCTCATCACTAGACAGACCCGTCTCATCACTAGATAGACCCGTCTCATCACTAGACAGACCCGTCTCATCACTAGATAGACCCGTCTCATCACTAGATAGACCCGTCTCATCACTAGATAGACCCGTCTTCACTAAAACCTCCATCACTAGAAGACCCGTCTCATCACTAGATAGACCCGTCTCATCACTAGATAGACCGTCTCACATCACTAGATAGACCCGTCTCATCACTAGATAGACCGTCTCATCACTAGATAGACCTCGTCTCATCACTAGATAGACCCGTCTCATCACTAGAAGACCCGTCTCATCACTAGAAGACCCGTCTCATCACTAGATAGACCCGTCTCATCACTAGACAGACCCGTCTCATCACTAGAAGACCCGTCTCATCACTAGATAGACCCGTCTCATCACTAGAAGACCCGTCTCATCACTAGATAGACCCGTCTCATCACTAGATAGACCCGTCTCATCACTAGATAGACCCGTCTCATCACTAGATAGACCCGTCTCATCACTAGATAGACCCGTCTCATCACTAGATAGACCGTCTCATCACTAGATAGACCCGTCTCATCACTAGATAGACCCGTCTCATCACTAGATAGACCGTCTCATCACTAGATAGACCCGTCTCATCACTAGATAGACCCGTCTCATCACTAGATAGACCCGTCTCATCACTAGATAGACCCGTCTCATCACTAGATAGACCCGTCTCATCACTAGATAGACCCGTCTCATCACTAGATAGACCCGTCTCATCACTAGATAGACCCGTCTCAATCACATAGATAGACCCGTCTCATCACTAGATAGACCCGTCTCATCACTAGATAGACCCGTCTCATCACTAGATAGACCCGTCTCATCACTAGATAGACCCGTCTCATCACTAGATAGACCCGTCTCATCACTAGATAGACCCGTCTCATCACTAGATAGACCCGTCTCATCACTAGATAGACCCGTCTCATCACTAGATAGACCCGTCTCATCACTAGATAGACCCGTCTCATCACTAGATAAACCCGTCTCATCACTAGATAGACCCGTCTCATCACTAGATAGACCCGTCTCATCACTAGATAGACCCGTCTCATCACTAGATAGACCCGTCTCATCACTAGATAGACCCGTCTCATCACTAGATAGACCCGTCTCATCACTAGATAGACCCGTCTCATCACTAGACAGACCCGTCTCATCACTAGATAGACCCGTCTCATCACTAGATAGACCCGTCTCATCACTAGACAGACCCGTCTCATCACTAGATAGACCCGTCTCATCACTAGATAGACCCGTCTCATCACTAGATAGACCCGTCTCATCACTAGATAGACCCGTCTCATCACTAGATAGACCCGTCTCATCACTAGATAGACCTGTCTCATCACTAGATAGACCCGTCTCATCACTAGATAGACCTGTCTCATCACTAGATAGACCTGTCTCATCACTACATGTTATGAACCTACATTGTTCTTCTCCATCAGATTCCTGTGAAACTATCTACCAAACTACCAACCTGCAGGCGCCAGCGGTCAGGTGTTGCCCAGCGCTCAGGTGTTGCCCAGCGGTCAGGTGTTGCCCAGCGGTCAGGTGTTGCCCAGCGGTCAGGTGTTGCCCAGCGGTCAGGTGTCCCACGTTGGAAGAGGGCAGTGCCCCCCCACTGTGGCCGTTGCAGGGGTGATTACAGCCCATCAGGGAGGGGCCCAGTTTGCTGTGCTGACCGTTCACAGGAGGAATGTGTGAGTTCTTACATGCCAAGGGCTTATGGAGGGCCCCTGTTGGGCATTCAGGGCCACCCAGGGTCCCCAGCTTGGCCCCTGCCGGGGGGCCGTGGAGGTTTGGTACCAGCGGGGAGAAGGGAGCGGGAGCAGCTAGACTGGGAGAGGAGGAGGATGAGGAGACATGGCCGTGCTGCTGCCCTCCTGAGCTCTGCTTGAGGGGCAGGAGAGAGGAATGCTGAGAGGAGGAGAGGCCAGTGGGGCTGTTGGGGGGGACAGACAGGTCCGAGTGTTGGTGGTGGTCGCTGGGGTGGAACGCTTCGCCTGGAGGAGAGACAAAAGTGTTGAGTGGAATATTTGACAAACATAGTTGTGATTCCCAGTGGTTACATATCTCTGCTTCTCTCTAGAGGTGTAATCTATGGGCACAATCCTTCCTTGAGTTCTACGTGTGTATCCATTAATAATGCACTATTGTCAATGGGACATGTGAACAGTAATTCAAGTTAGACGCCGGTATGTCTTGAGTTCTCTGTGTCCTAAAAAGGGTGAGAAAAAAAGACCTCACCAGGCGGAGTTGGTCGTCGGCACATGGTCTTGAAGTGCTTGGGGGTGTTCTTACAGAGGTCCCCGGAGGTAGAGAGCGGGTTCCCGGGGGACGAACCACTGGAATTCTGGGAAGGGTGACTGTAGGGGCACACCTTGGCCCCAGGGGTTTTAGCAGATTTCCCAGGAGCCTCGTGAGAGCCTCGCTTCTCGTGACACGCTGGTCCCCCTGTTCCTATTGGACCAGAGGGAGGGAGGGAAGGAAGGAAGGAAGGAAGGAAGGAAGGAAGGAAGGAAGGAAGGAAGGAAGGAAGGAAGGAAGGAAGGAAGGAAGGAAGGAAGGGAGGGAGGGAGGGAGGGAGGAAGGGAGGAAGGAAGGGAGAAGGAATAAAGTTTTACTCAGAGGAGTAACAGGTTGTGTTGTTGTTTCAAGGTAGCCAGTAGCTAGCTACACACGAGTACAGTTCCCTCAATTTTGTCAGTGCAAATGTCTGCAAATATTACCATCTTGTTAAAGTAAATTAATTGAAAACATGCCAAATAATTAATGTCTAAAGTAGTTTGCATCTGTGTACGACTTAACCTTGAGAGATCTGAGCAGAGAGAGAGAGGTGTGGCGTCAAGGTGTGTGTGTTTACCTTGCTGTGCGTGCGAGGCAGTGCTGTGGGAGAGAGGTGTGGGGTCAAGGTCATGGTGTGTGTGTGTGTTTACCTTGCTGTGCGTGCGAGGCAGTGCTGTGAGAGAGAGGTGTGGGGTCAAGGTGTGTGTGTTTACCTTGCTGTGCGTGCGAGGCAGTGCTGTGAGAGAGAGGTGTGGGGTCAAGGTCATGGTGTGTGTGTGTGTGTTTACCTTGCTGTGCGTGCGAGGCAGTGCTGTGGGAGAGAGGTGTGGGGTCAAGGTCATGGTGTGTGTGTTTACCTTGCTGTGCGTGCAAGGCAGTGCTGTGGTTGCAGTGGACCCCTCCGTTGCTGTGAGCCGAGTTCCAGAGACCAGAAAGCTTGTGGGCTGAGAGGAAGGAGGATGGGTCCCAGTCTACGGAGCTCTGCTCTGGGTAACCGTTACCACAACTCTGGGCCTTACACGACGATGAGTGGGACAACGGAACCTGCCGGAGGAGGGAAAGGGAAGATGGTAGTTCAGGACATGGTTGATAGGTACAGCCTTTTTCCCCACTAAACATTTGATGCTGTAGACAGAGCAGAAATGGAGGAAGACGATGTATTAATTGACATTTACTGGAGCCGTCTGACTGGTACCTGGGAGAGGAGGACACCGGAAGAAACAAGAGATGCTAGTTCAGAGCCCGGTCATTATTTATGTCTGTGTCTAAATGACACACTTCTCTGTATAGCACACTACTTTTAACCAGAGCCCAAAGGGAAGCCTATAGGGCTCTGGTCAAAACACTGCTACGTAGGAAATAATGGCACTTGTTTTACCAGAACACATTCTGTTTTACAGCAAACACCTGAGTAAATGTTAGAGAAATATAAGAAATCCCGCTATGCCCTCAGACGAACCATCAAACAGGCAAAGAGTCAATACAGGACTAAGATTGAATCGTACTACACCGGCTCCGACGCTCGTCGGATGTGGCAGGGCTTGCAAACTATTACAGACTACAAAGGGAAGCACAGCCGCGAGCTGCCCGGTGACACAAGCCTACCAGACGAGCTAAATCACTTCTAGGCTCGCTTCGAGGCAAGTAACACTGAAACATGCATGAGAGCACCAGCTGTTCCGGACGACTGTGTGATCACGCTCTCCGTAGCCAATGTGAGTAAGATTTTTATAAACAGGTCAACATTCACAAGGCCGCAGGGCCAGACGGATTACCAGGACGTGTACTCCGAGCATGCGCTGACCAACTGGTAAGTGTCTTCACTGACATTTTCAACCTGTCCCTGTCTGTAATACCAACATGTTTCAAGCAGACCACCATAGTCCCTGTGCCCAAGGACACTAAGATAACCTGCCCGTAGCACTCACGTCTGTAGCCATGAAGTGCTTTGAAAGGCTGGTCATGGCTCACATCAACACCATCATCCCAGAAACCCTAGACCCACTCCAATTTGCATACCGCCCCAACAGATCCACAGATGATGCAATCTCTATTGCGCTCCACACTGCCCTTTCACACCTGGACAAAGGAACACCTATGTGTGAATGCTGTTCATTGACTACAGCTCAGCGTTCAACACCATAGTGCCCTCAAAGCTCATCACTAAGCTAAGGATCCTGGGACTAAACACCTCCCTCTGCAACTGGATCCTGGACTTTCTGACGGGCCGCCCCCAGGTGGTAAGGGTAGCCAACAACACATCTGCCACGCTGATCCTCAACACTGGGGCCCCTCAGGGGTGCGTTCTTAGTCCCCTCCTGTACTCCCTGTTCACCCATGACTGCATGGCCAGGCACGACTCAAACACCATCATTAAGTTTGCCGATGACACAACAGTGGTAGGCCTGATCACAGAGAACAAAGAGACAGCCTATAGGGAGGAGGTCAGAGACCTGGCCGTGTGTTGCCAGGACAACAACCTCTCCCTCAACGTAATCAAGACAAAGGAGATGATTGTGGACTACAGGAAAATGAAGAGGACCGAGCACGCCCCCATTCTCTTCGACGGAGCTGTAGTGGAAAAGGTTGAGAGCTTCAAGTTCCTTGGTGTCCACATCACCAACAAACTATCATGGTCCAAGCACACCAAGACAGTCGTGAAGAGGGCACGACAAAACCTATTCCCCCTAAGGAGACTGAAAAGATTTGGCATGGGTCCTCAGATCCTCAAAAGCTTCTACAGCTGCACCATCGAGAGCATCCTGACTGGTTGCATCACCGCCTGGTATGGCAACTGCTTGGCCTCCGACCGCAAGGCACTACTCTCTCCCTCCCCTCCCGGAGGACCTGAGCCCTAGGACCAAGCCTCAGGACTACCTGGCCTGATGACTCCTTGCTGTCCCCAGTCCACCTGGTCCTCTCTCCCTCCCCTCCCGGAGGACCTGAGCCCTAGGACCAAGCCTCAGGACTACCTGGCCTGATGACTCCTGGCTGTCCCCAGTCCTCTCCCTCTCCCCTCCCGGAGGACCATGCCTCAGGACTACCTGGCCTGATGACTCCTGGCTGTCCCCAGTCCTCTACCTCTCTCCCTCCCCTCCCGGAGGACCTGAGCCCTAGGACCATGCCTCAGGACTACCTGGCCTGATGACTCCTGGCTGTCCCCAGTCCTCTCCCTCTCCCCTCCCGGAGGACCTGAGCCCTAGGACCATGCCTCAGGACTACCTGGCCTGATGACTCCTGGCTGTCCCCAGTCCTCTCCCTCTCTCCCTCCCCTCCCGGAGGACCTGAGCCCTAGGACCATGCCTCAGGACTACCTGGCCTGATGACTCCTGGCTGTCCCCAGTCCTCTCCCTCTCTCCCTCCCCTCCCGGAGGACCTGAGCCCTAGGACCATGCCTCAGGACTACCTGGCCTGATGACTCCTGGCTGTCCCCAGTCCACCTGGTTGTGCTGCTGCTCCAGTTTCAACTCTTCTGCCTGCGGCTATGGAACCCTGACCTGTTCACCGGACGTGCTACCTTGTCCCAGACCTGCTGTTTTCAACTCTCTCTCTCTACCGCACCTGCCATTTCAACCTCTAAATGCCCGGCTATGAAAAGCCAAGTGACATTTACTCCTGATGTACTGACCTGTTGCAACCTCTACAACCACTGTTATTATTATTTGACCCTGCTGGTCATCTATGAACGTTTGAACATCTTGGAGAACAATCTGGCCTTAATGGCCATGTACTGGTATAATCTCCACCCGGCACAGCCAGAAGAGGACTGGCCACCCCTCAGAGCCTGGTTCCTCTCTAGGTTTCTTCCTAGGTTCCTGCCTTTCTAGTGAGTTTTTCCTAGCCACTGTGCTTCTACATCTGCATTGCTTGCTGTTTGGGGTTTTAGGCTGGGTTTCTGTATAGCACTTTGTGACATCTACTGATGTAAAAAGGGCTTTATAAATAAAATGTCATTGATTGATTGTGCGTATGGCCCAGTACATCACTGGGGCCAAGCTTCCTGCCATCCAGGACCTCTATAACAGGCGGTGTCAGAGGAAGGCCCTAAAAATTGTCAAAGACTCCAGCCACCCTGGACATAGACTGTTCTCTCTGCTACCGCACGGCAAGCGGTACCGGAGCGCCAAGTCTAGGTCCATAAGACTCCTGAACAGCTAATCAAATGGCTACCCAGACTATTTCCACAGTTTATAACATTCATGTGCACCACAGTTGTTTTTATATAATATTTTAAACCACTACTACTAGTTTGATGGTTGAAGACATCAATTGTCCCATTAACAAATCACCCATATTAGCAAACTTATTTCATTTCAAACTTCACATTTCTCTTGTATAGGCTACTTATCATAATGAACAATATCCGCTAAATGCCTGTGATAAGTGATCGGTCGGTGTGGATCATTTTGGGTTTATCATCCCAGCTCTACTCCAACCCTACGGGCCGTTCTGGCTCTGACAAAACGAATGACTTGCATTACATCACCTTGAGCACAGAGCAATCTCCTGGATTTGCATCGCATTTAAATACGGAAATAGTTTACATAAAAACACCTCTAAGACGAAAAGTATATTTTCTCAAGAATCCACACGAATAAGACTACCTCAGTGCCTCTGCTCGTGACGAGAGAAGGCCAAGACTGACAGAGAACAAACAGCTTTAAAAGAGAGACTAATCTTATGACAGGATCCTTAGATGTGGTATTAATTTAGCCATACAGCACTGTGACACCACAAACTGCCACAGGATAACAGTCCTAAAGCTGCCCGTCACCATCATCAACAGATCCAGTGCCTTTCAGCTTGTTGGTGGACGAGGTGACCAGATGTAGCTACACCCTATTGTAACGGTTTTTGAGACCTTTAGAAAACAGCCATAGCTAGCAAGCTGTTACATGGCTATTGTAAAATGTACCTGTAGATAGTGCTGATGCTTGGATAGCTTGAGGTGCATGGTCGTCATATTCAGCAGTGCAGACATCTCCTCACCTCCCTTCTCTGCTCTTCCACTCCCCTACCTCCCCTCCCCTCCTACCGGTGCAGGCGTTTCCTGGGCGCTCTGCCTCTCCTTATCTTCCACACTCTCCCCTACCACCTCCTCCTCCCCCCTACTCCTCCTCCTCCTCCCTCACTCTCCCCTACCACCTCCTCCTCCTCCCCCCCCCTCATCCTCCTCCTCCTCCTCCTCCCTCACTCTCTTACGGGTGTGGGAATTTCCTGGACGCTCCGTCTGTCCTCCCCTCCCCTTCTTACCGGTGCAGGCGTTTCCTGGGCACTCTGTCTCTCCTCTTCCTCAACGCTCTTCCGGCAGCTCTGGCAGATCCATAGCGGCACCTCTCCCAGTAGAGACTGGCTCAGCGACGGCACGGTGTCGGACAACTTCCGACCCGGCACCTCTCTGAGCAGGGCCTGGGACAGGGCTGGGACAGCATCGGCTAGCTTCGCCCCGTGGCCCCCAGGCAGACCGTTGGCAGAGCTCGCCCCCCAGTCCTTAAACTCACGGTGACACAGGAGGCAGCAGGTGTGCATCGGCTGGGGGAGAGCGACAGAGAGGTGAGTCAGTGACATTAGGAGAGAGAGGTCAATCATCTAGGTGAAACCCGGAAGAGAGGAGGTCAATCATTTAGGTGAAGGACAGGAAGGACAGGAAGAGAGGAGGAGAGAGAGGTCAATCATCTAGGTGAAACCAGGAAGAGAGGAGGTCTATCATCTAGGTGAAACCCGGAAGAGAGGAGGAGAGAGGAGGTCTATCATCAGGAAGAGAGGAGGAGAGAGAGGTCAATCATCTAGGTGAAGGACAGGAAGAGAGGAGGAGAGAGAGGTCAATCCAGGTGAATGACAGGAAGAGAGGAGGAGAGAGAGGTCAATCCAGGTGAATGACAGGAAGAGAGGAGGAGAGAGAGGTCAATCTAGGTGAAGGACAGGAAGAGAGGAGGTCAATCATCTAGGTGAAGGACAGGAAGAGAGGAGGAGAGAGAGGTCAATCCAGGTGAAGGACAGGAAGAGAGGAGGAGAGAGAGGTCAATCCAGGTGAAGGACAGGAAGAGAGGAGGAGAGAGAGGTCAATCCAGGTGAATGACAGGAAGAGAGGAGGAGAGAGAGGTCAATCATCTAGGTGAAGGACAGGAAGAGAGGAGGAGAGAGAGGTCAATCATCTAGGTGAAGGACAGGAAGAGAGGAGGAGAGAGAGGTCAATCATCTAGGTGAAGGACAGGAAGAGAGGAGGAGAGAGAGGTCAATCCAGGTGAATGACAGGAAGAGAGGAGGAGAGAGAGGTCAATCATCTAGGTGAAGGACAGGAAGAGAGGAGGAGAGAGAGGTCAATCTAGGTGAAGGACAGGAAGAGAGGAGGAGAGAGAGGTCAATCCAGGTGAAGGACAGGAAGAGAGGAGGAGAGAGAGGTCAATCTAGGTGAAGGACAGGAAGAGAGGAGGAGAGAGAGGTCAATCATCTAGGTGAAGGACAGGAAGAGAGGAGGAGAGAGAGGTCAATCTAGGTGAAGGACAGGAAGAGAGGAGGTCAATCATCTAGGTGAATGACAGGAAGAGAGGAGGAGAGAGAGGTCAATCATCTAGGTGAATGACAGGAAGAGAGGAGGAGAGAGAGGTCAATCCAGGTGAAGGACAGGAAGAGAGGAGGAGAGAGAGGTCAATCCAGGTGAAGGACAGGAAGAGAGGAGGAGAGAGAGGTCAATCCAGGTGAAGGACAGGAAGAGAGGAGGAGAGAGAGGTCAATCCAGGTGAAGGACAGGAAGAGAGGAGGAGAGAGAGGTCAATCCAGGTGAAGGACAGGAAGAGAGGAGGAGAGAGAGGTCAATCCAGGTGAAGGACAGGAAGAGAGGAGGAGAGAGAGGTCAATCCAGGTGAAGGACAGGAAGAGAGGAGGAGAGAGAGGTCAATCTAGGTGAAGGACAGGAAGAGAGGAGGAGGATGGAGAGGAGAGGAGGAAAGGATGGGATCCGAGGAGAGGTGGTTAGTGAGATGAACATGGAGCATGATGAAGTTGCCCCCTGGACACTGATCTAAGCTCAGGTTTTTAACCCCCTGGATACTGATCTAAGGTCAGGTTTTTAACACAGAGATTAGAATTTCACAAGTAAGACCTGACCATGTTGACAATGATCACAACAACATCTGTATTGTAAAGAGGAAGTAAAAGTTGACCATGGAGGCAGCTTGGCACATGCACAGTGGCTAGTTTGTAGTGATTGTAGTCCACACTAACTAGTGGTCTGCTGGTAAAGTAAGCTTTGTTGACCACAAAACACCATACACCTACAAGGGCGTCCATGTAATGTTTAGGTAACAACTTCGACGCATGCATATGACACTTGAGAGTAGAAATGTGCGCAGAGAAAGTGTACACGAATACTATAGACGCTGATCTCGCATGCAAAGTGCAAACATAACAAAGCAAGCCATGCATGGTGCTAGCCAAACGTTAACACTATTTACAGTTAGCAAGATGACTATCCCTGGGATGTAGTTTGTTAGCCAACTAGCTAACACATGTAGTTACAGCACCGGTGCACAGTATATTGTGTACTAGCTGCCAAGTGAGATTAAATGTCAGCAAACTTGCAATACCACCGTGAGCTAGGAGCTAACAAGCTAGATAGAAATTCGATGGCAACACTTTACGTGTCCGTGGCATGCGCTTGCAACAATGTTAATCTTGCTGGCTGACATTAACTACTACCAGTAAATGCAGACTGGATGTCGTTAGTTGCTGTAGCTAGCCTGGTTGGCTAAAACGGATGGGTATTTATTGCCGGCTTGCACAATTTACAACGCTGGCTAAAATGTAATTATGCATTAAGCTAGTGGAGCTAGCTATCACTCCGCCCCGACCAGAAATTGTAAATGAACGAAAATACAAACCTGGAGCACTAGCTAGTTAATGCAACTTAGCTAGCTAGAATCACCAATCAACCATCCAAAAAACCCCAAGGAATTAGCAGACCCTAACTGATTGGTAGTTGAGCTAACCTTTTAGCTAGCCCACTAGTTATTTTTCGCTGCTTGCTAGGCTAGTTACCTGATTCGCCCTGGCGGCCAGTCTATCCAGCCCTGCATCTCCGCCAGCTGCATCTCCGGGAGAGACGGGGCTCTTCGGTATGTTCTGTTGTACGGCCACCAGCTCCTTGCTCCCGACTCCTTGCTGTTTGCTTTTCTTCCTCGTCATCACGCAGGTGTCGGAGATATCCTTTGGCCAATGTTGCACCAGTTTAGAGATGTTTAAAAGCACGGGTTTCGATTATTCTAGGATCACAAATGTTTCCCCCTATCTTCTTCAGTCAAGACAACAGTCAATATGGCGGCGCGCTGCCACACTCTGGGGTTCATAGGTCAAAGATATTGCTGGCAAAATGGCTTCACCGTGATGAAGCTAAGCAGTCGCCATGTTGAGTGAGGGCAACCGTTCCAGGTAACTCGCACAGTATAACATTTTGTGCAAAATCTCTGGTTACAAGCCGCAAATTGGTGCATTTCACATTTTGTATTTATTGCCATAATGAATCTATCAATGATTGGCTACCACATCATTTAACGTCATATTATTACACACTCATTATATTAATTGCATTATACGTCTAAGAGATCTAAATGTTGTCTAAAATCTAAATGTAAAAAAAAAAATAACATTCAGATTAATAATAAAAATAATATGCCATTTAGCAGACGCTTTTATCCAAAGCGACTTACAGTCATGCGTGCATACATTTTTACGTATGGGGTGGTCCCGGGGATCGAACCCACTACCCTGGCGTTACAAGCGCAACGCTCTACCAATTGAACTACGGACGACCACAGTGCTTTGAAGCATTGATTGATGCAGCCATACATTTTGCACATGCTGTTCAAACCATAGAGTTGGGGCCATGTCTATGTTCCCTCGGGCTGAGGGAACATTGGGTGTATCTAAAGGTCATTCAATTTTGCATTTGCAGAACATTTTGTAGCACGCTATTGACGTCAGTGTACAATCACATACTTTGCATCTTCTTTGCAATAATGCACAGATTTGTTTGTCCTTTGGACGACCATGGTAGCCCTAGACGAGGGTTCCCCAACTGGCGGTTTTATTTGGACCCCCAAGTTTTCTGAGCAAAAATAAATAAAATAAAATATGTTCTTTTTATTTTCACTGTTGGACACAAAATACTGTAAAATCAGCTCCAAGTGATTTTCATTTAAGAAATCTGTTCCCCAGTATTCCCACGCATAATAGAGAGACACGTGATCGTATACAAATGTAAGAAAGGTTTTAAATGATTAATGTTTTAGTCAAACATTATATCTGTTTGTGCTTCTTGCGGTCAATTTGCCGTCTACAAATTATTTTTAATTATTTAATAAAAAATATGCCAGCGGCCGAAACTAGTTGATGATCCCTGCCATAGACTATATTGTGGAATGATTATTGATATAAAGACACAATCCTCTTGAACACCAACTCAGAAGAAAACAAAACGACTGACCGGGAATAACAATTTCTTTCTTGAAGTTGTTTTCAGTTTCAATATGCATACTAGGTACAAAGTCTCACTATAAAGAACAAAACATTGAAAACTGCTTTTTTTTTTTTAGATGTCAATACAACATGTTCTAGATTTTTTTTTAAACATTATCGTTCAAGGTCATATTTGGAAAATATTAGTCGATCAGTTCTGTTCTATTGTTAGGCTGTTCCTAAGTCAAAGTCCAAATCTCGCCCTCTCGGACGGAGGCGGCTGGAAAACAAGGGAGCCGTAGTGTGGACGGGGAGACTGACGTCAATTACGTCGCCAAAGAAGGTGATTTCTTGCTGAAGTGCAGAAGACGTAGCATGTACTATTCCAGCAGTCTGTCGTTGAGATACATCTTGCTTGGTATTTGTACCTTTATTTCAACTATTTACAATGGACGCGAACACTTGCAACATTCAGGTTCTTCTGCAAGCTGCTGAATTCTTGGAGAGAAGAGAACGAGGTAGGTTTCTGTTCTGTCTGTCAACCAGCTAGAGCACAATAACCAAATGTACACATATAGCGAATATCTAATAATTAACAGCAAATATTTCACAGAAAATGGTGGGATGTTACCGTTAAGATCGTTGCTATTTAGTAATAGATCGATGCAATAAGCAGTTAAAGTAGCCTAGCTAGTTTTATTCGGTGCTTCATATCATCATTGTACACAAGGTTACCAAATCTGGAGCGGTTTAAAAATGTACCCACTGCAGCGATACACGTTATGAATGAGCTAATACAGATGTTGCGAGTCAACAACTCCAGCTGTTGTTCTTTGTAGCCAACTGGCACCAACAACCAAAATAGCCTACGGCTTGTGACGTTGTTCTGTGATGAAATTGCTGGGGATGCGCCAAAACCCGAAAAAACGTGTGCAGCATCTGTTTTCTGACATTTGGACGGGAGAATAGAAGAGGCTACAACCGGTTTTCTTTCTTCTTCTGCACAATAGCCAGCCGCCTAACATGTATCTTTGTGTTTGCAATCACAGCTATTCTCTCACTTTACTTGTTATTGATTGTTTTTTTCAATATCCCATGTAGCAGTTATGTTGTGTGGACTTCCACCTGTAGCTTTGTCATCTGAAACGTCCTACTACTCACCGTGCAGTCATAAAGTATTCAGACCCCTTGACTTATTCCACATTTTGTTGTGTTACAGCCTGAATTCTAAATGGATTAAAACAATTCTCTCATCTATCTCACATAATACCCCATAATGACAAAGTGAAAACGTTTCGAATTGTTAGCACATTTATTTTATACAGAAATATCTAAATTTACATAAGTATTCACATCCATGAGTCAATACTTTGTAGAAGCAGCTTTGGCAGGGATTGCAGCTGTGAGTCTTTCTGAGTGCACTGCATGCACATGAGCACCATTTGATGAATGGAAATAGGCATCTGTTAACAAAACACCAAAAAGTGTTCCTGATGACATTTACGATTGCCATTGATTAGGCTTACATTAATTGATGCGTCTTGCTGACAAATGTACCTTTTTTTTGTGTGTGCCTGAAATGGGTCTGAAACAGTCCTGGGGGAAGGGATGATCACCCATGAACACACAGTCAACTAACTAGACTAGGCTGCAATGTGTATTACCATGACCTCCCAACAGGCCTGCCGGTAACCGGTGATGTAGTGGTAACTAAATAGGTGGGTCATTCTGATTGCCGGTCGCAGTGAAAAAAGCAACACTGCCTCTACTGTCAATGCATTTATCTGGAAAAGGTGTTTCCTTGCATTTACCCTCTACTAGGACTACACCACTACCAGTAACCTACCCTCTACTAGGACTACACCACTACCAGTAACCTACCCTCTACTAGGACTACACCACTACCAGTATCCTACCCTCTACTAGGACTACACCACTACCAGTATCCTACCCTCTACTAGGACTACACCACTACCAGTATCCTACCCTCTACTAGACTACACCACTACCAGTAACCTACCCTCTACTAGGACTACACCACTACCAGTATCCTACCCTCCTCTAGGACTACACCACTACCAGTATCCTACCCTCCACTAGGACTACACCACTACCAGTAACCTACCCTCCACTAGGACTACACCACTGCCAGTAACCTACCCTCCTCTAGGACTACACCACTACCAGTAACCTACCCTCCACTAGGACTACACCACTACCAGTAACCTACCCTCTACTAGGACTACACCACTACCAGTATCCTACCCTCTACTAGGACTACACCACTACCAGTATCCTACCCTCTACTAGGACTACACCACTACCAGTATCCTACCCTCTACTAGGACTACACCACTACCAGTAACCTACCCTCTACTAGGACTACACCACTACCAGTATCCTACCCTCTACTAGGACTACACCACTACCAGTATCCTACCCTCTACTAGGACTACACCACTACCAGTAACCTACCCTCTACTAGGACTACACCACTGCTGGTATCCTACCCTCTACTAGGACTACACCACTACCAGTATCCTACCCTCCACTAGGACTACACCACTACCAGTATCCTACCCTCTACTAGGACTACACCACTACCAGTATCCTACCCTCTACTAGGACTACACCACTGCTGGTATCCTACCCTCTACTAGGACTACACCACTACCAGTATCCTACCCTCCACTAGGACTACACCACTGCTGGTATCCTACCCTCTACTAGGACTACACCACTGCTGGTATCCTACCCTCTACTAGGACTACACCACTACCAGTAACCTACCCTCCACTAGGACTACACCACTACCAGTATCCTACCCTCTACTAGGACTACACCACTACCAGTAACCTACCCTCTACTAGGACTACACCACTGCTGGTATCCTACCCTCTACTAGGACTACACCACTGCCAGTATCCTACCCTCCTCTAGGACTACACCACTACCAGTATCCTACCCTCTACTAGGACTACACCACTGCTGGTATCCTACCCTCTACTAGGACTACACCACTACCAGTATCCTACCCTCTACTAGGACTACACCACTGCTGGTATCCTACCCTCTACTAGGACTACACCACTGCCAGTATCCTACCCTCTACTAGGACTACACCACTGCTGGTATCCTACCCTCTACTAGGACTACACCACTACCAGTAACCTACCCTCTACTAGGACTACACCACTGCTGGTAACCTACCCTCCACTAGGACTACACCACTACCAGTAACCTACCCTCTACTAGGACTACACCACTACCAGTATCCTACCCTCTACTAGACTACACCACTACCAGTATCCTACCCTCCACTAGGACTACACCACTACCAGTAACCTACCCTCTACTAGGACTACACCACTGGCAGTATCCTACCCTCTACTAGGACTACACCACTGCCAGTATCCTACCCTCTACTAGGACTACACCACTACCAGTATCCTACCCTCTACTAGACTACACCACTACCAGTAACCTACCCTCCACTAGGACTACACCACTACCAGTATCCTACCCTCTACTAGGACTACACCACTGCTGGTATCCTACCCTCTACTAGGACTACACCACTACCAGTATCCTACCCTCTACTAGGACTACACCACTACCAGTATCCTACCCTCTACTAGGACTACACCACTACCAGTATCCTACCCTCTACTAGGACTACACCACTACCAGTATCCTACCCTCTACTAGGACTACACCACTACCAGTATCCTACCCTCTACTAGGACTACACCACTACCAGTATCCTACCCTCTACTAGGACTACACCACTACCAGTAACCTACCCTCCACTAGGACTACACCACTACCAGTATCCTACCCTCCTCTAGGACTACACCACTACCAGTATCCTACCCTCCACT